AGAAAGGGCATTTCATTTATCATGAAAAAGGGGGTTGAAGAGTTCAGTCAAATATAAAATACGGTACTTTATATTTAGGCACTTGATAAGATACAGGTACTAAAATAAATATTTAATATACCTAGCGTTTTTGAAATCGGTTGAATCCCTAAGCAGAGACTAGTTATTTAAATATTTCTAATGTTCATTTTAATTAAACAACTGGTCATCAAACTTCGAGTAAGTACAATTGGAATTAGCATAAGTAGCAACGTGTTTCGACATCTTTTTTCTTATCTCCGATGAAAATAACTAAAAAGAGAGAAATAAACGTGCATATGATTTCCAGTAACGGACGCAACAGTAAATCCCCGCCTTCCCTCCATTTGCAAATTGCAAAATGCTGTTAAGCTATAAGATCGCCATGTGTGTACTGTTTGCAATAGTTTTTGTAATATGTCCTGTTTAAGTAGTGCAATAAACATTATTATTATTATTAAAATTTATGCACTTGTTACAAATATTACCTGTTTGAAAAATTCAATTCATTCAAAATTAAGATCGACAGATTAATATTCAAAAATAAATGTTTAAAAGCAACTAAATACCTTGACAAATTAATCAGCTGTAGCAAACGCACCGCACTGCCAACGGAAAACGCGACAGTCGATGCACCCATGCGCCCGCGCATCTAACGATAAATCTAATGATAATAATCGAACGCTGATGCGGCATGGCTTGGCAGACGGGCTATATCACGTTCGCTTTTAACACGTTGCAATAAAGCTTATATTATAAATGGAAAATAAGCTTTCAAAGGCCCGAACGAGACGTCGATTTATAATAATTAACAAGCATGGGAATGACGTGAGGCGTGCGCGTCGGTGATTTACTAATTCAGGCTTGTTTTAAACGAGCAATTTATTGACCTGCCCATAGTAAGGGCATGGTTAAGGTCGCGCACTTTCGCGCAGCATAAACAACGATGAGTACGAGCGATGTGTTTCCGACTATCAGGAAAAGCCGTATGACAACAAAAACCTATACTAGCCAGATTTTCGCTTATATTGAATCGGAAATTACCTGACACTCTTCTATATTGGGTATTACCAACATGCAGAGCGTATAGGTCAACAGAAGAAACCATCACTTACCGAATACGAGAGTCCGTCAGCACACCGGAGATACATACTTGGCAATACATCAACACTCTGTGAAGCCTACGTAGTCCCTAAGAAGTCACAGTGCTTCGAGGAGGATTTGGTTTAAGTAGAGTGAAACAGTCCACTTTTAACTAGGTACGCTAGGCTAAAGAAAACGATACCAATAGTTATGGAAATAAAATGGACCGACAAAGACGTCAAAATTGGAGGGGAAATGCTTCATGCACTATTCCTACCGCATAACAGACGACAAGGAGTGTAGAGGATAATAAGACACTCCATCCGTATGGATCCGTACCGTACAACTTTTTTGCGTTTACACTCCCCCTTCCCGATTTTACACCTCTTTTAACTTTAATATGATTTTGCCAGATAAATTTGAATCCAATTGGAGCACTTGGCCTGGGAATCCTGTCGTTAAAATAAAGTTATATTTGATCGATTATAATAGTCAATACCTTAGTCTCTTTTTTTATATAAATTACATATAGCCTATTTTTGTAAAAATTTTACAAAGTTTTTGTTCATTGTATATAGATAATGCTATTACAGTTATATAATAAGAAGATGTCAGGTTAATAAAAAAAGACAATAGCACGTCACCGCGTCCGCAGCTCAATAAATCAGATTCAATAATCGGCCATAATCGATGCAGTGCGCCGGCGCAGGAGATCGATTTATAATCGGTGCCGACCCGGGATGAGTATAAAGTGTAATATTACATGAGGTAACGACCGCATAGATTTTACCTGACTTCACTCGTCTAGATTAAGTTTGCAGTCATCTGAAGTGATTATAGACGTTGCTGGTCTTACAGAAAGTATTAAATTTCAAAGAAAACAACAAAAAACTTGATTTATTTTACTCTATGAAAAAGCTACACTAATTGTGAAACAAAACGCGAAGAGGACAAATTTTATGTTTATTTTTCTGACTTATCGCAGGAAAAAAACTCTCATTTGATGTTGACAATACTCTGACTGAGCTCTGGCCAATGGCTGATGAAGGAAACTTAATTATCTCGGATAATAACTATCAAATCGGTTAAAATTTGCAAGATTTGTTTGTTTTCGATATTTAGATGTCTGATTTATCAATTCAAAGGATATGAATAATTTGTTACTGTTCAACTCAGGGGTCTACTCACAAAACCCTCTAAAACATTTTTCTATGAAAACGGACTTACTATTTAATGTTTAAATTTAAATTTTGATCAGTTGTATTCCATATTTTTAGGAATGGAACACATTTAACAGTTATAAGAAATGTCTTAGAACAGCTTTTCATGATTATATATGACGGTAACCGGCATATTATAATCAGTAATCGAAAATTAATATCTGTTTTGTTATTTCTGGTATTGTAATTGAAAGTGGCTTCATAGCCCAATGAAGTTACTATCCAATAAGATTTCTCTGTATAAAATAAAACGATGTCGTAGTTTTCGATATTCACAAATGCTTGTAACAGCCTAAACTCAATAAACGAAATTGAATCTGAATTAAATTTGATTCGTAGGATATTTCAGTCCTTACACGGATTCTTAACTGGGATGATAACGAGAAACCTTTCTTTATGTGAACCTAAATATTTATAAAAAATAAAATAAAAGAACTTGACCGACTGATGTTCGTATCTACGAATACTCTACTCTGGATCTCCAGAGTCGTTATCAAATCTATGACAAATAGGGTCCCGCCTTGCTCCTGGGAGCGTCACGTTAGTTCATTTATAAATTGGGGGCGTAGGTGTGTAGGTGCCCTACCTAGCGCGGCGACTTCAAACAAATTCCAAATCCAATCTTTTCGTCACGAAAAACGAGTTTGATGCTATACTCCGACCAAAATGAAAAGTTATTTTGATCGAAGAAGCCGTATAACTTTTGTACAGATATGTACTTCCATTGCAGTGTTGGTGAAGAAATCGATAAATTAGTTAGAAATAAGTGTCAGTGTCTCAATTTGGTGATAAAGTACTTATGTAGAAAATATTCAATGAAATCCGTTAGGTACAATTATTTTAAGAATTTTATAAAAATAATTGTCAGGATAAGTGGAGTAATTTGAAATTTTAATCTTTTAATTGAAAAAACTTGTGCGTAATCAGTGTACAATAAATTTTTATTATAGCAATTATTTATTTTGCTATAAGTATTTTGAAAAATTTGTAGGTATGAATTGGATAACGACTCCGAAAATGTCGACAAATATTTGGGGTAGGTAAAATACTACTATTCGAAAGGGTTAGTAGAAATTTATTTACAATAAAAAACTACCAATTTAAATATTTTTGCAGCTTTGCACGTAAGCTCAAAGTGGAAAAATTACGTAAATGACATAAGAAGTAATATGTTGCTTTTACTAACATGTCTAATGAAAAGTTTTTGTTATACTTATTTAACAGTTTATTGTTGATAACTTGCGAAATTAAAGAATAAATATTGATTTGTTAGTTATGAGTCATTATCAGAACTTCACTGTTGTCCATAATATCCATAGCGCCTTTGTTTACGTATAAAATAGTTGTCCTATGCTGACAATGCAAGACACATGCTTATGTAGTAACATCCTTTACTAACATCTAGTGACATCTAGTGCAGAGAAGACGAATAAAACACATCTTCTCGCGGAACGAAACCTATCGTGCCATCTAGCGTGCAAGAGCAATGAAAATGATGAAATTATTCGGAGAACGATGATACTCGATCTATGTAACAGTATTATTAATTAAGAGCCTTAAATCCTAGAAGTTTCCTTCTTTCTTTAATTAATAGAATTCTTCCCACTTTTATTAAATTCATTGAATTTAATTAATTAAAAAAAATAAACAAATATATATAAAAACATCGGTCAAGTGCGAGTCGGACTCGCGCACGATTTAACCAGAAACTAGAACAAAAATCACGTTTGCTGTATAGAAGCCCCTTTAAATACCTATTTAATTGTTATTTTATTAGCTATGTGTTGTTATAGTGTGAACAGAATTACACCATCTGTAAAAATTTTAACTAACTCTCACGTTTCATGAGATATAGCCTGGTGACAGTCGGCGGAGTAGCAGGAATAGGGCCCCGTTTCTCACCCTTGAGTACGTAATCCTAAAAATACTCCTCTCTATACCTAAGGACTTGTTTCAATATCCTAAGTACTAACTGATTTCTTATATTTTCACGCGTACTATTTATTAAATGAAACTAAAACGGTTTGAGCGCGTTTGTATTTGCTTTATTTTGTGTTCACTTAAGACAACAATAGACGCCTTAGTCTTAAGTGAACACTTAATATGTATAGAGTCCGAAACGTCATGAAAGCAAATACAAGCGCGCTGAAAGCGTTTAAAGTAGTTTCATTTATCTTAATTAGCTGCATCAAAAAACGCGAATTAAATGAGAATTCACTCAGATGTCCGAATCCCTTTCCTTTAATATCCAAAAGCGGCATCCGCTCCACCTTGAATATGTGTGATGAGTTTGGAAATGACAGAATATCTGAGACACGTACGAATCAATCGATCTTGTTTTGTGTTTTTATACAAAAAATGGAATCAATAGTGTTTCTACACTAAATGACGTGAACTCGGACATATTATATATTCGAAATCGGATTCGGATTTTTACAGAATCGTTCTGCAGAACTGGCTTTTTATAATTAAATGTCAACGAACAGTTTTACTATTGCATATTATTTTAGCATCTATTTAGGTCAAGAACTGCAGAATTTACTATATCGGGGCACACCTAACAGAAGCATTTCAACATTCCTCACAAAAAAGAGATTATCAGTCACAATCTTTGAAGATCTTATACTATCGCATTGTTACGCAAGGTGTTAATCTTAAAACTGTCAATATCCAGATAATAAAGAGCACATATCAAACCGAACTATTATCTGATACTATAACCGAGATGATTTTTTTAGTCTATAAGCCGGGAAGGTTGTAGGACTGCGCGAAGATTTAGTATAGCCCTACAACGGTTCGTGGGTCATATCTCGTGAGTCAGAAGTCGCGAAAGATGGAGAGGCCGATGAATACGTATGCTGACAATAGAGACCCAAGACCTAGTACTAGCCGTCAGTCGGTTGAAAAAATTGAGGTCTTCGAGGTCCGCGAACATGTTCCCTACCAGGCAGAAGTGACCAGGGCTCCAACTGCTTACGATGAGGAAAGTGGTGAAATGTATACTTCGTGGGATTCCGCGTGGAGAGCTATATGTCAGATGTTCAATTTGTTGCACCATATGCAGATTGCTATAGTGGTGTTCTGTTTGTGGCACTTCGCTCTGACTTCGGCACCAGATGGAGGCATCACCAATATGCAGCTTCACATCATATTTGCTGGAACTGGTGTATGTGAAAGTTATATGGTTTTATAAAAATTAATAGTGTTTGAAGTTGTGAATGTTCATTACTCAGGTTAGGAAATGCGCTAATATAGAAAAAAAAGAGCTTTCATGTTTTATACGCATATATAAAAACCGTCCAAGTGCAAGTTTGACTCATGCGCGAAGGGTTCCGTAACTATAAAAAATGTAAATAATCACGTTTGTTGTATGGAAATCCCCGCCTCATGAAATATTTGATTTATTTTAGTATTTGTTCTAATATTGGCAATAGAAATATATCATCTGTGAAAATTTGAACTGTCTAGTTGTCACGATTCAAGTGACAGACAGACTGATAGCGAAGTCATATTTGGACATATTTGGATCCCGTTTTTACCCTTCTCTACCTACTAACCCTAAAAATTAGTAGGCAATGAATTTAAAATAAGTACTTTCTTTATTATTTTTTTATTTATTTTTTTTTACTTTATTAGGTCCATAACAGACATTAAGATTAAACGTATCCGTAGATAGACGATCCACAAGACAACTTAAACCCAAAATGTAACAGTGTATGAATCATCCTTTAATTCAGTAGGTGTCACAAAATAGAAATTCATTCAGTTTTTAGGTTACGTATAAATTACCTATAAACAATATGATTGGAGTTTATTACTCCGTGGCAGAGTGCCTCGCACGCCGGTTTCCAACATCTCTGTCTCCCGAGTTCATTTCGCAGTCAAATCAATATAGAATATGATCTTTTCTATATTTTCTTTGATCTGGATGTTGTCTTTGGGATCCAAGCAGATCCTTATCAATCGGGCGCCTATCATTTATTTAATAACTTACAGAAGACCTCCTCCCGACTTCAATTGCATTTTCTTGAAGAATAAGCTTCAGAGATAAGCATTATTTATCATATTTTTAAAGTTTAAAGTCGACATATTTTATTTCCGACATATTGAACTAATATTGTCAGTTTGCACAATACCTTAACCTATTATACACTAAAACCTTCCTCAGTGATTACCTTCCCTGCTATTGAAAAATTATTGGACTTTGTTTTATAATATTATGTAGTAATAATGATAAGGATGTAGAAAGTACTAAATAACCTAATTTTATTTTACTGTTGTATTGTGCACCCAAGACCTAATCACTCTAGTATCAGAGTGTTTCACATTTCGGTTTCAAAGTGTCGCTTTCTTTGAAGTCCCGAATTCGATTCTCAGTCGGTCAATGTCCAAAATTAACTTTTCTAAATTATGTCGGATCTGGGTGTTGTACCTTCGTTGTCTCAGATAATCCATACGGGGGCTTTAGGTATTCATCGGAACAATGTGATGTTGCCTTTTATTGAGTTTTTTTTTTTATTCTATACAAAGCGAATTTTGTTATATTGTCAGTGTAATTTTCTTTTTCAGTATCAACTGTTCCTGGCAGAAGCTGTTCTCACACTTCACAAACACAACTCGTGGTCGTTCCAACTGTCACAAGATTCAAAACGTATAGTCCACGGATGTTTGCAGCTTGCCGGCTCTTTGTTTGTTCTAGCAGGGACATTCCTAGCACTGTCTGAAGTGGAGATGAATATAGGGACGGCACATGGCATTTGTGGTAATCAGGATTTTCTTAAATAATTACCTATATAATTAGATAATGTAACTGACCAATGTAATTATTTAGAATAATGAAGTTTTTGAAAGCACATAAACAGACCACACTTGTGTCAGTTACATCTGACCACGCCGCGTGGCGCCACAGTCGAGTAGAGATAACGTACGGGACTTAAATTGAACAAAAATAATTTACAGATATGAACTACGCTATGTGTTTCACCCTCGCACCTCGATTAAAACCCACAGAACACACTTTTCCGTGTTCTGTGATTGAAACCCAAAAAATGCTACAGCGCAATCGTTAAATCGGTCCATCTTACGTGCCGCGCTTTGTACTAGAAAAGAATAGAATGTAATTACTAACCGCGACAGCGGCGCCTCTTTTCTGCAATATATATACTGATATATAATACAATCTATCACAGCACCGTTGTGACTTGAATTTTTCGCTCGCAGCACAGTAATAAATAATATTATGATGTACGAGTATGTTGCTTAATTTGCTCCAATTATATATTAATAATGTAGTTATTTAAAAAAATACTACCTTTATTTTCTAAAGACTACAAATGATCTTAAAAGTCTAAAAACTAAGTAAAATTTAAATAAAATTAGTGTGTATAGTATCTATTGATATCTGTTATAATAACACGAACTTTAAACCCGCTAAACTAAATTTGTTATTTATATGTAATTTGTTATTATGTATACCCACAGTATTTTATCGTTACTTTCTTATTATGATTCATAAGTATAAAATCTATGATCTTACTTGTGTTGCAATAATGATAATAACGAAGTAGATTTTGCGTTGTACTTCAAAAGTACCTAGTCACAGTTGGATAAGATTGATCTGTTTTATCTCTAGAAGTGTAATGTGTATTGTACAAACTAACATCTGAATTTCCTATTTCATTTCGTTGTAACAAACATACAAGATGATTTCCAAATTAATTACCTAACATAGCAGTTATAGTAATAAGTCATATTTAAAAAAAGTCTGCTAAACCAAAAATTCACCACACGTCAAATTAATTGGAACTTACTTTACCTACGCATATATGACGTACATATAGACGGGCTGTACACAGGATATGTCTTTGTGATAAAAGTCACATTTAAACAAAGCTTATCAACGCCACCGGCATCGTCCACAATCGATGCCATCACAAAAGAAACAACCTCGACATGAATGGCTCTCCGGTGCAATTTTAAGCATAGGTGCTTAGATTGCTATCTTTTAGGGAGTAAATTTATAAGAAATTTTAACATACTCGTATAATGTATGTTACACACGAAAGGGCTTATTGTGAGAATCTCAAATGTACTTTTATACTTCGAGATACCTATATTGCATTGAAGTTATTTAAGTAAATAAACAACAATTGACCAACCTCACCCCCTTTACTTTTACTTTTAAATAAGAGGAAACCTTTAAATTTAGGGTTTTTTAATTTTCTTTAATTATTTCTGGCGATTTTGATTTATTTGTCTATTTTTTATTTCAGGCGTTATCGCGTTGGCGTTCACAATAGTTAGTTTCATCACAGGACTTGTCGCCCTCTTCTCGTCAAAAATTCGTTTGATGATCAAGAGTGGACCGGTAAAGATACTCCATGTGGCTGTAGGTATATTTGCATTATCTATGGGACTTATCAGTATGATACTAGGTTTCAATAGCGACTTCTTTAGTGCCACCCAAGGGGATTTGAGTATAGCACTTATGATTTTCACAGCACTAACAATTTTATATACCATTTTACAACCTGTATACGATATTATAGCTATGTTGAAGAATATGCTGTGACTGATCGATCTAAATGGATCCACTTCAGATGAAAGTGTTGCGTAGTTATAAATTGGAATGTAAAAAATATAGGTTATAAGATTTTTACCACCAACGCAAGAGCATTACACTTTCAGTATGGTTGAATTATGTAACAAACTATGTACCACTTGGACATAATGGTGCAACTTACATGTCAATTTCATAAAAATGTAATAGGTACCTCGTATATGTAGTTGTTGTAATGCGAAAAATGCCTTATGTAGATATGTTTACAGTATGTTCCACACGGTTGTAAAGCGTTCCAACAAAGATGAACTTTAACATTCTAAAAAACGTCTAGATGTTTGGTAACAAGCAAGTTACCCCTGATCTTTTTGAACTGCTGATTCGTAAACGTATGGATCACACTAATAGCGGCGGTTACATCTAGCCCGTCCCGAGCGAATGTTTCAATATTAGTCATGCCCCTGGGATCAAATATTTTAAAACCTGGGCTAAGCCTAATTGCCGCTTTAGTGTTGCTAATATAGATATATATATAGAAAATAGTAATACTATTAAATACTTTAATGCAAAAGTCTACTTCTATTGTAATTATTATGTTTGGAATTGAAAGGATAAAAACTAAATCTTGCCTGGTCCATCCATACTACCAGATAATAAAATTAATGTCATTGATTTTTACTGACCGCCATAAGCCATACTGGACGTGAAATTCTCAATAGGATTAAATTTAAGTACGTAATTTTAAGTAAATAATTAAGTTTTAATTTTAAAAAAAATTATAGACGTGACAGCTCGAGGTCGGAATTAGTTGAGAAATAATTTTTTATGTGTACTTCTAATAAGTACGCATAATAAATGTTCACATTATTAGGTGTGGTTTGGTATAAAATAATCACTAATAAAATAGAACTTTTATAAAATCAAAAGAAACTAACACGACGAGTACCACTGTAATTTTTACATAGATCTAAGTGCAACGCAGTGAGGTATATATTTCCAGAATGTTCATTTGCAGGCCTGCTCTTAATACCTACCTATTAAAAATTATAATATTTGTCAATTTCATCCTAGCAGTTTATTTTGTAAAGAGAATAACCTAATTTTTATTACATTTTGAATGTTGTACAGTATTCATAAGATGTTTTTCAATATAGATGTAATTCTGTCAGTTATGTTTGTACTTGTATTGTTATTGTAGTATAATAATATTAAGTAGAATTATGTGCTCTAATACCATTGTGTGAACGTGTACTTCTAAATAAATTATTTAGAATAAATTATATTAGTGTTATTATAACATTATTCATTTAGTGTTGATCTGCGTCTGTCAGCGTGGTATATCTAATAATTGAGAACTTCTATGGCGTAAAAGTCTGAGCGTTCGTTTTGCAATAACTTAGACCAGTGTTTACCAACTTGTCGTCCACAGACCGATGGAGCTCAGCGAATTTATGTATGGCGGTACTCAGAGTACTTAATATGGCGAATATGTAAGCGCCAGCATTTAGCTAGCGCGTACTTATTCGCCGGCAAGTGAATACTTACATTGACTCAAAAATCACAGATTTCTATGTCAAAAATCAGCACCTACCTTCAAAATATAAGTTTTGTTTCATTCAAAAGGCTACACTTAATTTAGAACCATTCTTTGGTAATACAAATAAGTGATTTGAATCTTTTTTTTCTGGTTCAAATTAAGGGACACGTTTAAATTGAAAAGCATAAGATACCATTTGTAAGTGTTGGATTGGTAACAATTTTTTTTATCGTAATCTTCTCCATTTTAACCACACTGGACACACATAGTTATGGACTCTGTCATGCTTCTCAACCTGGTTACTGACATGTCCTAATTGTGGACATGATAGGTTAATGAAGATATGATAACAGTGTTTATGGTATAATCCAGAATAAAAAGCCAATCCTTGTCAACTTTCCCATTTCTTCTAAATAGTCTTCAACTAATCGGTATTATTTAGATAAGCAACTAAAGATCTTAAAAATTAAAAATAAAATCAGTAAGTACTTCATAAAAACAGAAAATGTGTATCAAATAAAAAATTTAATGCAATAAGAACACTTAATCCAGTATATGTATAATGAAAATTAAGACTTAGATTGCTGCTTCTTGGCAGCTTCCGCTTCTGCTTCACTCTTCTCAAACTCTGCAATCAATTTCTCCACTTCAGGACTGGTTAGCACTCTGATTATTGTCTTATTGTCTTTACGGGTGAGTGTAGCCATTTCCACTGAAAGAAACATAGTATAGTATGAATGGGCTCTTATCCAAATAATTTGACAATATTGTAGTGAAGATTCACAGTACGCCGATAATACAGTTCATTCTATGGGATGATGACGTCCATATTACAGCATTTGAAAGGGTAGAACATTAATTAACAACAGTCTGTATGGAACGGTCTGAAATTACCATAAGAAGATCTACTCTTAGGAACCATGTCATTGATTATAGTTAAAAGAGAAACTGCATTCAAACTAGTTCTCACTTTCGGATTGAGCCTGGATGTTTTGAAAAACAAAACTTAGATTATTTCTACTCAGATACTGATTGTGTTAGCAGTTAATGTTACTATGACACATAATGCCTTCAATGAAGAAAAAGCATTTTTTTCATACCCTTTATTTTAGTGGATGTTCAAAATAACAACCATTTTTATCAATAAAACATTCAACTAATTTTATAAAATTGTCTCTAAGATAGAAGCTTGTGCTTATAGCTTTTAGCTGGAGTCGCAACTTGTTACTAAGAGTCAATTTTAATGCAAAACTTCCTGAAGGTACCAAATGTTAGATGGTGACGACTTGAATGTTGTATTGAAAAAAAAATGGTTGTCATTTTGAAAACTTACTAAAATGTTTATGCAACATGAAAAACAATGCATTTGTTCATAAAGACATCATATTCCATAATAACCTTTATTGCTTAAGACCTCATCATCAGTCTTTTTACATCCCCACTCCAAGGGTTCAGGCATTCCTTATGGATGGTTAAGCAGGATGATGACCCTCCACACTGGCCAAATGCTAAATTGGAGGGTATTTAAAACACTTAAAATTAATTAATAATTATGTGACATATTTGAGCATCACTTACCTTTTTCTGGAGTCAGTTTAGTCATATCTAATGTTTTGCTTAGAACTTTAATAGCAAGAGCTTGTGCTTCTGCCAGTGTTGTTTCATTTTCTTTATACTCTTGCTTCAAACTGGAAACCGCAGCCTATAAAGTGAAGTAGGTATCAATAGTTTTTCTTTATTTTCTTTTAACTAAAAAGCACAGCACATGCATGATGTATTCCGAAATTAAATACTGGGATCTCAATTCTATTATTATTTCTATTAATATCCCCATAGCTGGAGCAAAAATTACTTCTTATATAAAATGAAATTGGAAGAATGGACCACTAACCACCAAAAAAGGTCAAGTGAAGGTTGGTTGGGGTGTTAATAATGACAGACACAGCCAGGAAATTTTTGATCACATACCCTATGAATAGCTCTTACGAAAGTTGGCTAACTCCCACATTACAATCCTATAATTTTACTACAAGTTTTTCTAATATTGTAAAGTTGCCATAGAAGTCTTGGCTGTAAGTGATTAACTTCACATGGTTTGTTTTAATAAAAAGAAGTTTCTTAAAAATGTATAAGAATCTATTACAATATCTATTTAAACAATATAAAAGTGCTATAAGCGACTATGGTCATACCAACTGTTCTCCCAATTTTTAATCAACAACTTCTGTGGTTGTGTGGCTCTACAGGATTACTACCATGTACCTTGTATTTATAGAGTTTGAAATAAATATCAGGGAAAACAACTAGCTGCTTGATTATCCTTTGGAGCAATGTTGTCTTATATTTATATATTTTGTATAACTTACAGCACTATTGTTCCCAATACAAGTAGCTTTCCATCCACCATAATTTCCACTGGGATCAGACTGGTACAACTGGTACCCATAATGTTTATCCCAACCCATATATAGAATAGACACTCCAAATGGTCTTTTACCTGAAAATAACACATAATTTTTTTAAATACACATATTCATTTAACACAGCAAAATAAATGTATTTATTATAATTGTAACTCAGGAAGGCAATTTCAGGAAGGCGATTATAACAAATGATATATACCTGCATCCAATGTCTGCAAGTTTATATAGTTCCATTACAAAATATATGTCGTGGACAATCTTTCACACAAAAAGAGACCTACATCTGTTTCCTCTTTTGTATAAAGAATTGTTTGTAATGTCATGAAAAATATAAAAATACTACAAATTTAAAGAAGTATATATACCTCCATACTGTGTATAAGCTTGTTTAACATCACATAACCAAGACACCAATTGTTCACAGGGTATAGATTCTCCATACTGTAGTAAATATCGCTGAGCGATAAGTCTGAGCTCATTAGTCAGTACATTTGCATCAGACGTGATGCCAGCAACTGAACATACCATATCATCATTCAATTTGTAAATTTTCTCTGAGAAAAATACTTCATCGAGAAGTTTGTTTGTGTTTCTGCGCTCTGCTGCAAGTAAAATGCCGTCAGTAGCGAGAATTCCAAGGGATGTGCCAGCGTGACTGATGGCTTCCATGGCATATTCGACCTGGTATAATCGCCCTGAAAATAGTATGTTAATTACACCAGTTACGTGATGTTATTTTCAATCTAAGTAATATGATGGTTTAGCCGGCTTTATTACCTTCGGGAGAGAATATTGTTGTACGGGTATCATAACGACGAGCCTGAAATCATCAGAATGAATACTTTTGGTTTGGATGACAAGCAAGAACTTATTACCCTAACCTACAAAGCTTACTATCGAGCAATTCAATCGATTAGAAGTTTAAGGTACTTACCATTTTTATAAACTGTAATAACACTAGGGAAAATATTAAAACCAAGTCTCAAATATTGAATGCAAAAGTGAAAATCAATTTAATTTTTACTGTATACGCCGGACGATGACAGCAAACTTTTGATTTGTTTTTTAAATGTAGTTTTTTTTATTAACAGAATAGGGACCTTGTTTATACAGCCAAAGTATACGTAAAAAATGTTCTGCTTCCCATACAAAAAATGACAAACTTTTCTCTTTTATATGAAATAAAAAATTTCTTTACATTTCTCAAAAATAAATTATTGAAAATTATTCTAATCGAATTTTTCTAAGATGCCTAAATAAAGTTAATGAGGAAATATTAAAAAAAAATTGTTCAAACTACATAGAAGTCGCTACGGTACGTTCTTGATTTTTCCATGACAACCTTTCTGGTTTTCTATCGTGTTTAACAGTAAATTAGTTTTCAAAACTCATATTCTATTTGTCCTTTATCGTGTTTGTATTGATATCTTAGATTCGAACTTTTTAAATTTTAATTTTTTTAATATGTTAGGTAAAAAGAACGGAAATGAATGTCTTTGGTCCAAGCGTTTCCTGCAAAAATCGACTTTTGCTAAATCTAGTGGAAATGCTTTTTTAGTGCTTTCTCTTTCTTTTTAAATACTTCCTCATTCTATTTCTGCTTTTTCTTTTAACCCGTCGTGGGCGGAACGCGGTTACTCCTGGTATTATTCTTTTAAGGTGGCTTATAAACACACGAATTGGCACCGAAATGATGGTTGTAAATGGAATCGATTGTTCCTGAAAAAATCACCCAGTAGCTTAAATATTGATTCACTTTTAGTCTCCGTCTCTAAATTTTTCGTGAATAGCAGCTCTTCGTCCATTATAAATCGAACATATGCCAATAATAATGCGTCATTACCAAGTAAAGTTGACTTGTCCAGTTGAATAGAAAAATGAGTTGTTTGTAGATAATTACACAAGAAACTTTCAATATCAGAGCTCATTTCATCAATACGTCTTTGTACAGTGTTGTTACTTAAAGGAATTCTTTTAAGTACGTTACGTAAAGCATGTGCAGAACAGTTTTTAAAACCTCATCAACAGCGGGTAAAATTAACTGTCCTCCGAATGGTGTGCGGTTTCCCAGATATCGCAATAACCAATGAGATATTGTAAGATGCCCGCAAGCCATCATTGTTACTTTGAGACGTTGGAGCGAACATACTGTGCACGGTCGGTCTCTTTTCATATTGTTTGAAAATATTTTAAATCTTTACCTATTTTATCAGGATGACACCTTCTTAGATGGTCTTCGAGCTTCAATGATTTTAAAGAGACATCGCTCAAAACCTTGTTGCATAAAAGGCATATCGGTAATCGTTTATCTGCCTTTGATAGAAGAAAACCATTCGTATTTATATTGATGAAGAATCAAACAAGTTCATACAAAATCGTAAGCACACCAGTAGTATTTCGTAGCTGTGCACGTCTGAACAAGCATCGCGTACTAGCCGGCGTCGGCGGCGCATTTCAAGTATCGATACGCATTGTAGTGAATATTGAAAAAGCAAGTTTTTATAAGTAACACACGCTAGCCTTCTTACAATATACCTGCACATTGATATGTAGGTCAAGACAACATTTTTGTTCTTTACCTATTATCGAAATCAGAAAAACTTGTCTAAAAAAGGAAAGTAGCAATCGATTGAATACTGTAATATCGATTCTTTTGAATAATCATTTGTTTTTAATTTCATTATAAATAAACTATTTTCCTCTAAGTAACATCTAATTATATTAGTAATCTAATCTAAGTTTTATAATTTTCTTTTAATATTAGATTAATAATAAATTTTCGTGAACCCGAATTACAACTTGTGAACTCCTATGTTTATTTCACGCCAACGTAGACCCCCGTTGAATCCCTCGTAAACCTCTGGGGGTCGTAGACACCGGACCACAAAGGGAATCACTGGTTTAGACTATGATAAAACTGAAAATATTTTACAATCGTACCCTGGGTGAATAGATAAATTAATATAACATACATCACACACACACACACATACACACACACACACACACACGCGCGCGCGCACACACATACACACACACACGCGCACTCAGATATATCAATGAGATATGGAAGAGTGGTTTCCTGTAACACAGGTACTTATTGTACTTAATAGAGGAGTAAGCTAGCGCTACGCTACATACTGAATCATTTGTTTGGCCATGCTTTATTGCTTCAAAATTTGACCTTTTACGCAAGTTCATTACAATGTTACCAACACTAGAAGCCGTTGACTATTCAGTTCAGTATTACCAACCCTACTGTTTTAACAGTAGATTTGCATTTTTCACATTGATGCCCCTGGTTGCTGCTTCATTCCTAATTTTTACTGTTTTTCAATTAGCATTCAGCACCACCATTTACCATTACACTAAATATTTTTTTTGTTACCCTTTGTGTACAAAAATGTAAAGACTCTACTAGATGGCAATATTTATTCTTATCGGGCCATAGCATTCCACCATAGCACATAGAATTACAGAGTAGATAGATATTGACAGTGATATTTTTATGCACGGGGAATATATATATATATATATATATATATTTGTGATATATATTATAATATACCATTGTATGTAAGTCATGTTAACTCATAAGATATGTGACTTATTTAACTATATGACTACCGTATGAAATACACTTTTTTACTTAATCTACTGTTTTCTCCCGTTTTTTTATTAGTAGTGAATTATAGTTGTCTTGACTTTAGTACTCTAATTGTAATTAATGTTTCTTTATTTGCAGCAATATCCTGCAAAATTGGACGGCTTTTATGAAGAAAAAGTCAAAGTTTAAAATAAGTAACAAAAATGAGTTGACTGGTAGAGAATGCCTACTGGCATTAAGTCCGCCATTTGTACACTTTATTTGTGCAAAAAAGTTTAAATAAATAAAATAAATTATAATTGATTAAAGGAACAATTTTTTGGGGGTTTTTGAGGCCATTAGCAGTGACTTTTAGGGGAAAAGTCGTAATAGCATATGGCAACACTGTTATAATAATCGATTTCAAAATGTGATATGTACTTAGTATCGGCTTCTGGTATCGATACCGAGTACTCATGTTGTATCGAGGGACATGAAATCGATACCATAAAAGTATCGCTCCCAAAGTATCGATACTACTCAGTATCGAACATTTGCCGACAACATGTAAATAATGCCAGAATTTCAGATTTTTCATAGTTCGCGCATATAAAATTGCATAAATTCTTTCTGGACGCAATGAGGAGGTGATTGAGGGACGAATTAAACAGTTTTGCTAGATATATTTTTTACTGCTGTGTTTGGTGTGTAAAATTGCAGTATTTTGAAAGACATGAACAACAAAATAAAACATGTTTAATGAGAATCGAAAAGCATAAATAAGCCTAATAAATTAAAAAACTTCTCCTGAGATCTAAGTCAGAGATTAGGACTTTCCTCCGAGTAGTTTCAATAGAACTCAGTACATAATCAAAATTATTGAATATAATAAATAATAAAATATGATTTAATTCTTTTTTTTTTCTGGCTTAGCATCAGAAACCTGCTACATTGCCGAAGATTTTGCTAAGGCAATACGTGAAGCTATAGTTTTCTTTTAAATTATGTCAAATTTTATAAGACATTACAATTGCCACATGAATGCCAAAGCTGGAATAAAACACTATCCAAAATATTTAAAATTTGTAAGTAAATGGTAATTTACGGATTTTCTTAAATATAATTATATTCCTTCAAATGTTAATATTTCTAGGGTTTTTCTTAAAAATATATTTTATATAATGTATAAAATTGAAGAAACTCAGATGTAGGTATATTGTATTGAGGTCAGGGTAATAAAAAATTAAAATTGAAAATACCACAGACTAATACTTCCATATATTTATTAAATTTAGCCATAGAAGCTAAATGACAACTGTAATTTTTATTACAGCAAGCAATACTCGATACCGGCAATTTTTACTAGTACTTTCGAGTACTTATTGGCTGTGATATCGAGTACTCATAATCGAGTATCGATACCTACACGGAACCGAAAGTATCGTTCAAACCCTACGCGAGAATTGGTGATACGTAGTATCTCTTATTCGTCTGTGAATTGGTGACGTGATTTTGACGTTTAAGATTACAAACAAAACTTTGAAAAATTGAAATTAATTTATTCCCATAAAATAGTTATTGATATAATTTTAATAAAATACTAATTATATCAGCAAAGCAATATGGCTGTCGAAAAACATAATATCGGTACATTACCGAAGAGGTCACGCCTGGAAATGAATGTTCGCCAGTTGCTAAATAAATGTGAAATAATCGCAAAACAGGAGCCAGTGGATTCAAATTGGAGATTAAGAAAATACGTAGAATCATTAACTGAAATGTTAACTGAGTTAAAAACTGGGCCTGAGTATGGAATATTATAATTAACTGACAATAACTGTTATAAAACGAACTACTACTAATAATAGGTACATTTGCCTTACAGTAAACCAGGGAAAGATGCACTAGCAGAATATTCTAAAAGAACTGCATTTTTAAAAGGCTTAATTCAGACTGCTACTTTGAATAGCCCTATTGAGAAAGTAAGTTGCCTAACTAAGTATACAAAAAGGTGTAAAACCCTTTTATTTATTTCTGAAATATAAAATGTTTTAATATAAAAATTTATATGAATTAAAACGATAATATTCAACAAAAATCAACATTGTAATTGATATGTCTGGGTTAGTAGATGTTTGATATGGCTCTTGATTTCGTGAATATTTTCATTATGTGCAATTTTTATATTTTTTATATTCAATTTCTACAAATACGTCTGCCCAAACTGAATAAATTTATAGAAAAAAGAAATTATAAACTTCATTTCTTTAATTCACTTTTATGTACTAAATATACAGTTGGAAGCAGTACAACAATTATCTCATGGTGCAGCTACTATGTGTGCTGATGCCTCTGCTCAAGAAATACATCAGAAGACCGTAGCAAAATATGGGGATGAATTGAGATCAGAACTCTTTGGACTGGGTATATATCATTTTAATTTTAGAACTATTGGTATAAAAGGCTCAACTCTCATGCCAATTTTTTTAGTTCGGTTATGAGTCATATATAAGAATATATGACTCATAACCGAACTAAAAAAATAAAATAAACAATTTTACTTATAACATTAATCTGTTATTATAATATGAATTGTTACCACTATTGTCTTATCACACTTACTTTAGTGTGTGCCATTATTTCCACAATATAATAATCTTTGTCTTAACAATGCAAGTTGTAAAACTATTAAAAAGAAATATAATTACCTTTCTTTTAATGTAATTTATTAATTCCAGAGGATCCTGATGATACACTCCGCAAGAGGAACATTATAAAAGCTCCTAACTTTACAAGTAATAGCAATAGTCAGGAAGATATCGATTCACTACTTAAATACCATCAAAATATGCAGGAAAAAGTGGCAGAGAATATGGTGATGCTTACTAGAAGTTTGAAAGAGCAGTCGCAGATTGCTAGTACCATCATAAAAGCAGATACTGAGGTAATAATCATGCATTAAGAGTTTTGGTTAGAGCATTAATAAAGTGAAAATAACACATTGGTCAGCAATGTAGAAGTTAAGCAACTTTTGCCACTGCCATAGGATTGGTGACTAAAAAATTAATATCCTGGTAGTGGTCCTGGCTGCATCTGCAATCATTAACCTTCAGCAATTTGCACTGAGCCTGCACAATTTTGTTCTGTTCATATGGATTGAGATGGCATAGTACATAGTTTAATGATTTAACATCTCTCCTAACTAAATAATATCCAATAAAATTGTAAGGAATAGGTATTAACATGATTAGATTAATAGTTTCACTAATGCAAGTATATTTTGTTACATCTATGGTTACAATTAAAACTTCATCTTTTGCACAACAATTTTTATATGGTTTATAGGCATTGAAGAAATCATCAGATCTAACGGATCGCAATCTTACAACTTTGAAAAAGGAATCTGAGAGGCTGCAGGAACACAGTAAAAGTGCATGGAAGTGCTGGCTTTGGCTGATGTTGGCTATTGTGATGGCTATTTTCATAAGTAAGTTATTGAATTTTTAATAAACATCAAACTTATTTTGTATATAAATTTTCTTCACAATTTTACTTTTATTTAATATCTTTTCTATTTAAAATTTGTCACCTTAATATTACGCTCTAGTAATGGTTAGGTCAATTTGAAATACCTTAGTTGTAACCTTATATGTTTATTTTTACTCGACTTCAAAAAAGGAGGAGGTTTTATTTCAGCTGTCCTTAGGTTTCTCTATCTCTTTCTTCTTTCTACTGAACTATCAATAATATATATTATATTATTTTTTATGCAAGTAGGATGTTCACCCATTTCTTTGTGGTAATGTTGTGCAAATAAATAAAAATTTCAACCGTTTCGTTATAAATATAATTTCTTTTATAGATATTAATTTGTTAAGTGAACCCCATACAAAATATTAATATAAAGTTAATATTAATACAAAATATTATATAATTATCAGTAAAAAGTATCACTACAAAACAGTGAAATTTTTTTTTTCAGAAAATAAAACAGACTGCAAATTTAAAAAGTGATAATTAATACTTATTTTAAAAGTGGTTAATTTTTTCAAGAAAAATTGAAGTGGGGTGGTTTTGTATCTAATAAACTACAGAAAACTTCAGCCCGTTACAATGGTTCTTGAAAAATTTTAGTGTTTTTAAACTAAGTATTATTTATCACTTTCTTATTTAAATATGAAGCCGGTTCTATTTTTGAAAAATGTTTTTTTAGATATTGCCTAATGTTTGGAATTATCATTGAACCTGATCTAAAGTAAAGGGTTGGCATGAGATAGAAAGGATATGCTTTTTCAATATCATTTTTATCCGATTTCTTAGTAATATCATTGAAATACCTTATTTTCTTTTGGTACATCATATTGACACAATAACAAAATAAAGAAACAAATTATGACCCTAGTAGTATGTAATCTTACAAAAAAATCCTTCCAAACCTTTAAATGTATTCAAAAAATAAATTTGTCCAATCGGAACTTTGGAATTTGTTTTGAGACTTTCAAAAACATTATTGATACTTAGATATTTTTTCTGTTTTTACAGATATGGTTCTCTTCATGAAAGTGATGAAGAAAAGAAAAGTAGATGTTTAAGCGAAGAGGTATGTTATTTTTTAAATGCTATAATGATTACTAGTGAAAATGTTTAATATACAGGAATATGTATTAGTAAGTTAATTTTAAATGAATATGTATTTATTATATGTAAATAAAACAATATTTTTAAATAATTGTATTATTTATTATATTTACTACTTTAATTTTCTTTAATTAATGGAAATCACATACTTCATACATAATAATTTTAATTTTAAACAATATACCAATCCATGTTGGTTCATACCAAAATACATATTTCAGTTTCCACATACTCAAGCATTCATGTTACAACAGATAACTATAATAAATAAATATATTATAAATAGTTTTTCTCATATTGACTCACTAAAATAGTACTAAGATTTTATTAATTATACTGTATAATGATTGTTAAGCCTATAATTATATTTGGAGCAATCCCTAATTTCTCTTTTATATATGTGCGTGATTATATTGGACCGTATGTTCCAATATCATTTCCCATAGTAATACATTTAATGTATCATATAATTTCAAAATTTATTTAGCCGATGATGAATTTAAATTTTCGTATGCTACACTTATAATGTAGTATATGTGGCGTGTTAAAGGCCAATGGTGCAGCGCCCTAGGCAAAATGTGTATGTTCCTTTTGTGGTCGTACAACGAAAAATGTATTTCTTATTTAACTTTTTTATATGCTGGTCACTAGGTTCTATAAATGTGTTGTCAATATAGTTGTTTTTAGAGTTCCGTACCAAAAAGGCATAAAGGAAGACTTATAGGAGTTCCTACCTGCTTTTTCCGCAACTACTAGATAGTTTGAATGGGTACATATATCATATACCGAATTAATGAATTTTCTAACCAAACATAACATGAAGCCCTTAGGCATATGCCTAGTTAGCCCAAAGAAAATATGAATGTATAACGTTACAGACGTGGCTCTATATACTGGGAAAATTGAATTAGTTTTTATTTATTTCAGTGTTCATATGAGTGCCAAGTAAATATTTCATTTAGCTAACATAAAGAATATTAGATGACACATCCATCGTAATTTGGAAATCGGTCGGGTAAAGATTTATATGCTTGATCGACATGGAGGCCTTAAATTTCTTAATTTATCACAATGTGAATTATCCTCCATAGGTAAAACATAAATATTACTCTTAGAAATCTTATTAGAAATTTTCATACAGCATGAGGATGGAATTTAACGGAACCCAGTAAATCGCGAATACTTTTGCATTGTTAAAGTCGCCTTTTCTATTTATTAATGATAACGGATTTTATTCATATGGGCACCTATTTCTTATGAGTTTATTTTTCTTAATGTAGTTCACATTAGTGACATTAACACACAGGACACCATGAGATTGGAGTTATTAGGCTAGGTGTGCATTAGAGCAGTCTTGGCTAAACGAGTTCAGTAGTCTTATAGTGAAATAGACACTTTCCTTCTTATTTTTATTATCTGATACCCATTTTGCAACAACCTGTTTTGCTTAATTGATAATTTCTTTAAATATGTCTCGATTTGATTGACAAACTAAAGGGGTAAAAACAAAGCGAAAAACAGCACTTTTATCTCTTCAAACTTTAAACTCGACCAACACTCAAATTGCTTCTGCTCTCCATATAAGACCTAGCTAAGTATCCGCTCTTTGATGATAATGATAGTGTCACCAATGAATAGTGTCATGCGTTTAAATGTCATAAGTGTGTACACACTCTAATATTAGGTGCTAAATACATTCTAATTTTCTTTAACTGCTATTTTGATGTGATTATAACATTTTGTGATAATGACGAAGTAATACTGTGAACTATATAATTGTTTTACGTTTATTATGCTATCTTAAATAGTGTGCAAATATGTATATTCTATTGCTGGTTAAGTGCTAGCTATATATAGAAGAGTAATAGTCTGACTTCTTATTTGTAATATATAATAACGTTTCTTTGTCATCTTTTAAAATTTTATCTTGCCTATTTCTTTTTAACGAATTATATTCGCGAACACTAATTACTTCATATTATCCACTTCTATGTATCACTACATGGATTGATAAAATTATACGTTATATATTTACTTTTTATCATAGACATCAGTTAATTCGAATTTCCAAATCTTGTTAGGTCCAATTTCTGTCACATAGAGATGCGATCCATTTCTCGTCACTGCTAGTGAATGTGGATTTGTGAAACCCTGTAAAAATAAAATTTTATTATTTTTTTACTGTAAATTTAAATAGTATATATAGTATAAAGTTTACTTGAGCTAACTAAATTAATCTTAAATAAGATTGCCTACTATATTTTTGGATGATTCTTTTATATTTATTTTCGCTCAATATCTGGCTCGGTCACGCTCAGTATCTGCATATTTCTCCTCCTCCACTCATTTACTAACGGCGAATAATTTTTCATTGGAAGTTTTTTCAAGAGACGATCTATGCCTAGTGATATTTGGGTATCTTTTATCCTAGAAAATAACCTGAAATAAACAGTACTTACAGTACTGGGTTCCCATGTATCCAAAATGGTGCCATAAACAGCATTTACTGTGAAACCTCTGACAGCAATATTCTGAGACGTAGGACCATTCACAGCGTATATCATATCCCCTTGTGATGCCACAGCAAACACTCGTCCTAAAGTAGGATCTTCTATAACTGTTGCCGGCTCAAACATTTTCACATAACTCTTCAACCCTGCCTTTGGGCACACAATTCTCATGTTCTCTCTATCAGCAACGCAAACAATATCCAAGTGCTCCAACAATGTCACACTGTGTGGAAGGTTCAGTGTCAAAGTATCCGAATACGTAGGTATTGTAAGTAATAAAATGCCAGCAGCGTTGAATTTTAAAATTTGATTATTACAATAGCCATCAGCTACAAATATTTCTCCGGTTGTTGCCACGGCTACAGAGGTTGGCATGCACAAGAGTATCCTTCGTCTGTAAGGGTAACCTGCAGTGAAAGCTTCTCCGATAGTTAAGGTTGGATATTTGTGATTACTTGGTGTGTACTGAAATCAAATTTGGCCGTTTATATTATCATCCAACTCGTGCATTTTACAAGGGACTAAACCCTTAATATTGCATAGTTATATTACCTTAAACACCTGATGTTTAGCAACATCTGTCACCCACACATTGTCGTGATGGTCTACTGTTAGGCCATGAGGCATATAGAATGCATAAGCTCCCCAACTGTGCAGCACAGACCCAGAATGAGGGTCCAAAATTAAGATAGTATCCTCGATAATAGGGCCTTTATCTAAATTTTGGTATACGTTCGATTCATTAAAGGTACTGAAAACAAATTGCCAAGTTTATAATAGGCAGTTATTTATTATAAGTTTTAAAGCTTGCTTTGAAATTACCTTTCGTCCCACACCCGTTCGGCTCTATGAAATATGACGGGCTGTCCTAGTGAGTTGATGGACACAGCAGTTATTTGTCCCACATTGAGCGATTGTTGAGGCCAATCTTTTACTTCTTGGGGCCTCAGTACAATTTCGTCCTTTGGCTGTAATGTTTATCATTCTATAATATTCATAAGAACTTTTAATTTTAATTATGGATATCACATATGTAACTTACCGGCTGTAAATCCACATTCTTTAATAAATTATCTTCGTTTGTGCCATAATTAAAATAATCGAAGTTATCTCTCACCGTTTCTGGTTCACAGTTTATGCCGGCAAAAGCCAAAATAAGGAAGATTATTGGCGACATTATCACTATTTGTTGTGATAGTTCCAGTTCAGATTCGTTCGCTACAATGGCACTGTATCGATTGTGAAACCCTTAAAGTTTTTACGCATGCGCCACTTGGCTCTCTCGTTTACTTACTTCTTTTCAAGGTCAAAAGGAATTGATATAAAATAATCATAATCAATACATTAACATATTTATTCTCACATAACTACAATATTTTTTAAAAAACTTTGTTCAAATTCACACATGACGTTAAGGTTCCAACTCCAACCTTGGGAATAAATAAAAATAGGTTCTCCTTAGGCTAATTTACGAATAATATAAGACGAAATTTCATTTCTTTACTACCGAATCAGTCTCATATTGGAGTCGTTGTTCGAGCTCGGCACATTCGGAGATTCGCAGACACGCACAATTAACAATTTGTAGATTTTCCATAGAAGCAATTAACAGTAAGAATTTTCTTGTGAAATTTGTGGTTAAAATGCTAGTTAGTTGGTTCATTGTCCACGCCATTCTGAGTTCGGTTGATCCCAGATATATCCGGTTTCGGTCATTGAGCAAACGGCGTTGTAATACTTTCCAGGACTTCTGCAGTATGACCAAGACGGGCATTTACATCGGAATAATGTTTGAAACTCCTCCTTGCACACTTCATTCCACCAACATGTCCTCTGAAATGTCACAGCACTATTAAGATATGTCGGTGATTTTTTTATAGATGCCTTAACATTAATTTCATTATACTATATGCATTTTAAAATTACCTCCGTTATATATCCTTTTACAGACCGATCTGAATTGCTCCGTTTGTTGACAGATGCTGTCTCCAGCGTAGTACTCAACATAATTATACATACGGACATAACATAATGAGCCTGAAACGACAAAATAAGTGCACTGGTGTCATAAATAACTTAAATCTCATTGTCTCACATACAAAAACAACGTTTGGATATAATCTCACCTTAATCATAGCAGATATTTGGCCCTAAAATAGATTTTTATGCGGTCGACGTAACCTTACTATTTGACGCCCCCTGACGGAGCTTTTTAAACTTGACTGTCTGACTTGGGGTTGCAATGTTGTTCAATGATTTTTTAAGTGTTGGAAGCATATTATAGAAGTTTGTATAATCAAGTTCTGAAAGTATTATCGAATCCTAGTATTGTTACTATTGTAACTGATTAAAAAATAAAAACTCATTAGAAAATGTAATGACTATTCTGCTAATATTATAAAGAGGACTAGTTTCTAATTTTGTTTGTTTGTAGGGGGTAATCTTTCCGAAATATTGATCCGATTTTAAAAATACTTCCACCTACGGGGTGCTATATCATACGCATGCGGCACAAGAAATAATATACGCGGACGAAGTCGCAGGTATACATAGATGAAAAGAGGTAAAATAAAGTATATAAACTCAATTATTTATCTTATTTAATATTTTAAAAATCACTAGCTATTGTAGGAATTCTTTGACATTATTCCTAAATTTCAAAAATGCATAACTCTTTACAACTACCGAGATATAATTACGTATACAATATAGATGGGACCCAAATAATTAAAGCCGATTAACTAGGGGGCGGCATAATCCAGTACCTTAAAAAACAATGAATTTTGTTCTTTAATATGAGGCTATGTCCGCTTCAAAGGTACAAAATTTTCAGACCAGGAAGGGCCAAATAGTTTCTTTTATCATTGGCAAATTTACTGTTAAATCGGTGTACTTTAGTAAGTCTTTTATTTAGTTGTGATTTTTTATGGGCTTCGTTCCAGAATTTTGACTTGGACGCCAAATTTCATAGAGCCGGCTCTGTACTCTACCATGCAATATGTGAATGTCAAGGAATCAAATCCTTTTAGCTTACCCTGCAAGAGATTTTTTATTTACAAAAAATCTCCTGCGAGAATTTTTATTACCAATTATGTAAAAAGTTATTATAGCTCTCAAATTATTTGGGTCGAAGAAAGAAATTAAACAATAAAATAGCACCAATTAATAGAATTGTAAAACTTAACAGTAGACATAGGGATGGCACTTAGAAGTAGTACATATAACAATAAATATTTTTTTACAAACAACTTTGGTCGGACGCTACTTCTACATTTGGGTTCACTGGCTCACACATGTTTTCGTGTGAAATCACTATAGTATTATTCTACATCGCTCGCACATCTTCTATGTTGTTATCTTCGATATTTTGTTCTCGTAACCGATGGATATCTTCGGCTTCCTTCCTGAAATGGAAGAATTTGGTTTTATCTGTTTGCATCAAATGCACTACACTTACAATAGCCAATGTAATTTTGATCCAGTTTCCTAACTTAGGTTGCATATGCTTCAAATTAATAATAATTAATAATACGATGAGGAGGATGGGCATGAACCTCCACGTTGGTCCAGTGCGGATTGGAGGGTATTTTTCGTGAGACAAATTGTGCATTTTAGGATTACGCCTAAAACGCACAATTTGTCTCACGAAAAAACGTGCCTCCAGCTGTGTGGTATACTACTGCGCTCAGCGATGGACAAGCAAGGGATACACCCGGTTTCTGAATTGAGGGTAAGAACGTCTCAAACAGTTTTTAAACGTCACGAGCAGGTTTGTTTATGTTTCTGTTTTTTTTAATGATCTAATGAAAGAAAACCTGTTTAAATAACGTTTAAGCACAGTTTGAGACGTGCTTAACTTCAAATACTCAATTAAAAAACCGAGTGTATGAATAAACAGTTTTGATTTTGTAATTTTCTCAATTTAGAATCCTGCTGTAAGTCATTCGTCTTCTAGTACACGAAAACGGTTTATTCTAGCTCAATGAAGCTCTGCGGAGTCTCGTGTGCATAATCATAAATACATCCATTCTTAATATCATGCGGTGTCATTGGGCGATAGGATATTAACTTATGTGTGCGGGTGGATACAACTTCGCTGTATGTTTATTTTATTTTACTAGTTTTTCAGCAGTATAAAACGATATAGGTATAACTTACGAATATTTATTAGGAGATGGCTGGAATATGCTCTTTGGGCAGAGCCTGAAGTAGGGCCAACACTCCCCTCCAGGCTGACTGCCCGCACGCTCCGCTTCTACATATTCTTGTAAAAGGTTCGCGTATGGTGATTTACTGGGACTGTAAAAGGAAGGCAGTAGAAATTAGAAAAGCAATAGAAGAATCGGAAAATATAAATAAACATTTTTAATTATTGTTACACTAAAATAAAAAGAATAAAAAAAGTATTCCATAACCAACCTTTTTTATAAATAAGTGGCTAAAGTTATATCTAAACAATGAGTTATCATAGTTAGTAATGGATTCTAATAATTTCGTATTATATGATTTAATTGATATTCCAAAGCAATACTAACGTGAAAAACAATTTCATAATTTCTCCAATAAAACCGAAATTATTGAGTGGGTGTGCTTGTACTTCACATATAGCACGCAGTAGGCATTCCTTCCCGGATAGACCAAAATTGGCGAGCATATCCTCTGCAATGCCGTATAATAGGGCTCTGAAATAACGAAAGATAAGGTCAGTTTTTCCAGATTAATACAATTTTAAAACATTGAAAATAACAAAGGAAAACCATTGTGTTCAATTGCAACTGAAATTTGCAAACGACTTTCACCCGTATACGAGGTTTAATTCGACGAAACAGTATTCTGCAAGCTGCATTTTAACAAAACATTTTTGCATTTGCATATTACGTAAGTTTAAACTGTCTAACATAAGGTACAAATATAACGGCGCCTGTTTTCGAAACATTTAATGAATTTAAAGCGGCCCCTGCGGCTACACATCCTATGACAGTAGCCAACTATGTCACGTGTCTAGAATCCCTGATGATGTCTGTTATAGGAGGGAGAGTGAAAGTAACAATCGATAAGTCAACATTGCCATTATTGTGACCACGTGGGACTCTTTAACCACATTTGATTGTTGAATATGTGTCAATGCGTATGTGTGTGGTCGGGGCAGGCATTTATCACTGGCCTGCTTTTGATAGACCCGGTTTTAGGATGTTCTCTCTCATACGGGGATATTCCACCGTTGTTTTCCGGAAACAATAGCTAATTTTGCAGACATTGAAAATTATTGTTACTGCATGTTGGTTTACTATAATTAAATGGGTTGGGTTAAATTGTGAAACAGAAGTAGGTATATGCATTGCATTGCATTTTATCTCATTGAAATAATCGCTAGCGAGGATTCACTCAAACTATCTACTGACTCTTTCTTCGCTCAAGAAATGTACATGTTTGTCGCAGCAATAAGTACAATAAAACATATAATTCGCCTGGCGGCTTGATCATTCGACGAGAGACATTTGTTTGAGCGATACTCGTTCAGCTACATTGGGTTATGCGTCCTCAGCTCCTGGATAAGCAATCTCGACAGAGTTTAAGTTTGCAACTTAAACGGATTCAATCGCTAACTCACAACGATTGTATTTTAACGATTATTGCAAGCCTCTAAATGCAATGTATCGTTTTTTGTAAGGCGCGGTCCGAGTTCAATTGTCAAGCCATAGATATATCATTAGTTTCCTATCGATCAAATTTGATAACAGGATAAGAAACTCGCTATTGCTTATTGACAATCGCTATCAATGCCGAGACTACATGTCCTGATGAGCGACAAGCTTATGTAGGGCTCCTTCGTGAGCCCATTCAGCTATCATGTCTGCTTGTTGTATCTTGGAGACATAGTTATTAAACACTAGAGTTACCAATTTACAAGTTCAGAACACCTACTCGTTCCTTACTAACAAAACTACTTACTCGTTTCTTGCTGCTTACCAACTCGTTTTTAAGGATTCGTGAACTGTCATATTGCATGCTGAATATACTATTTAGTTAATATTCTCTGGTCTTATATACTAATGTAATTAAACTACATTAACATACCTTTCTCCTCCATGTAGCCTATCCAGAACAGCCGCTTCTACATCTGGATGTATATGGGCATCATCAGAGCGTTTACCTCTCCTTCTATCTAGATACTGCCCGACATAGTCCGTCACCATTGATAAGGCCGCTTGACCCATAGAACGGGCTAGAATAGGAGGGAAGGCTCCGTAGGGATTTTCATTGTCAGTAAGCCCAAGTTTGTCGAAGTCAACTGTAAAACACAAAAAATTAATTAGACTAAACGAAACACATTTTATGCGAATATCCCGAAGCTTTGATTTCCCCAAATTAATATTATGCATAATACAATATATACATAAATTTTATTTAAGTATTTTTTTATTATTAAACCTGTAATCTTAATATTTCTACCTCAATAGTCTTACCTATATATTTTCTCATTAAAACTTTACATAACTAATTTGAATTTTAGTGAAAAACTCTCTTAATGTTAATTTAACTATAATATTATTGTTACTAAATTCTTAAAATACAAGAATTACTCTACTAATATTTATTTTAGTCTACGTATTATTGAAAACGACAATGTTATTTGCCCTGAATGTGTTACTACTAAAGATTTTATTAGGTATATTCTACGATAAAACGGCAGTTATATTTAACCCGTGCGATGCCATTATCAGATAGTATTAATATAATCATTCTGATATCAGTGAATGGAACCATTCCGCGCAGGACAGGACATATTAAATATAACCGTCGCTTTAGACTAAACATATTACTTTTTTATAGTTTATTATTTATAAGTATATCTTCTACACGTTATACTATGCAACAAACTAGTGTTATTGACTTCTAATGAGTCTAAAATCCATTCAATATTTAAAGTACTGACTTGTGAAGTCCATTTCGTATTTCAGTGTACCTGGAAATCATTTCTGTGTTTCATTTTTATCGCTTAGGCACAAAATCTGGATTGTCACAATATTTTTTACTCTTAAATCAAAATTAACATATTATTTCTCATAATTCTATGTATTCACGCCGTCCCTTTGCGGGATAGCCAGAGAGTATTAGGTGGGTCTAAAAAGGCGCACTCGATTATTGAGATCGTGTGTGGTATAAAGCTATCAAAAATATTATATCTCATTAATTAAGTTCCGCAAGCAGCCAGTGGTCCTTTTGTATTATACATAAAAACTTTTTTATTGAATCACTCTACACATTGATGAAAACTCCATTAAAATCCGTTGCGTAGTTTAAAAAATCTCAGCGTACAAACAGCGGGAAGCGTCTTTAATACTATGTATAGATTTTGCATTCATAACACTTAGAATATTTAAATTTTACTTTAACATAAGTACCAACAAAAATATTTTTGAACTGCAGAATTACCTGTTCCTATATTTGATTATAATGGTATACATTAGCCCCGCAGTTACACCGTGATCTACAAGTTGGTCTTTTTTTTATATTTTTACACTTGAAGACAGTGGGCCCTCTGGCAGCACTACGTCACGTTAAATATGTTTAGTCATAAATTATATTAACTAAGATTTGACCTTAATTGTGCGAATCTAATTAAGATTTTTTGCTAGCATAAATATTGGTTCAGTTCATATAATTTTAGAAGGCGTAGCGGTATTTTTATTTCGAAAACCAGTTGTCGAGTTCCAATTGGATTAATTCAGTTTAATATTATTTAAACGATGCAGGTACTTATTTTAGTGTGTGTATGTCCACAAGTTTGAGGAATTTGATAGTGTTCTGACTGTGATAATCTTTGCTGAAGTAGCTATCATAAAAGGAAATTGGAATGGGCAAATGGACATGTAGTAGCTCGGTGGCGTAGTGGATTATCGCCGCGGCCCGTGATCGTAGTCGTTAAGCAACTTTCGCAAGGGTCGGTCACGGGATGGGTGACCAAAAAATTATTATCTCGAACTACTCCGTGCTTCGGAAGGCACGTTAAGCCGTTGGTCCCGGCTGCATTTGCAGTCGTTAATACCCTCCAATCCGCATTGGGTCAGCGTGGAGGGTCATGGCCCATCCTCCTTAACCATCCATAAGGAAGGCCTGAGCCCCTGCAGTGAGGACGTAAAAGGGCTGATGATGATGAAATGGACATGGGCAAAAATTTATTCAGGTGCCTCAGGAAGCCAGTTTAGCCTTTGGTCCTAACTAGATCTACAGTAGTTAACACTCACTAATTCATACTGGACCACCATGGTTGATTCTACTAAAATAAGCAAAGTAGCAGCAAAAGCATTTATATATTGCTTATGATGAAATCTGCAACTGCAGGACAATTCTGTTAATGTTTACGTAATAACCGCATCTCAATAGAATTTAAAGTACTTGTAGTTTGCTATTGTACTATCTACTTAAAGTTCAATATTATTAATGCCACAGATTAATGCTATGTCTTCCACACAAATTAACGGTGACAGATATATGTTCTATTGAGATACGATCATTACTTAAGCATTAGCAGAATTGACCTACTATTGAGCTATACCTAATTTTTTGATATGAAAATATATTTATTTTCAAGACAGACCACAAAAAAGTTCTTTTACATATAGGTAATTAAATTGCTTTTAAGAAAGACCGTTACGCGATGTTCTTTATAAGTTTAGAAATAAAATTATAACGTACTTGAAAATGGAAAGCTGATAGTCACATTTGACAGGAAACCTTTCGGTGGATGCCTCACAAATGGCATTGAAAGAGATGGTGTGATAGCCATAGTAGTTCCTGGTGGTAGGGCTAATCGTCCATCGTTCGTTATCCAGAGTATCCTCTTCTGTCTCGAGTGAGGGATATTCTCCTTTGACAAATCCTCTTGAGAGTTCGGGCTAGCCATAGGTAGGAGTGCGGCTAGAGCTATGCTAAGCAGCACTCGGGGCACTGTCGCGTCCATAGTCTATCTGGAAAGTAATATTTCACTTATTTATTATGATATAATGGTCATTTACCACAGGGAAAATTGTCTTTGAACTTTAATCTGTATGGAGACCAAGCAGAGTTTAATTCTCTTTCCTATTATAAACGGAAAAGTAACATAAAAATTCCTTTACATGCCTACATTGCACCGCTTTAATTAATTTAATAAAAAAAAATATTAGACAACATCACATACATTGCACAAGTTTCAAGATGAGTAGCTAAAGCTCTCGTATTATGGAGTATCTGAGACACTACAATCAGACCCGGGACAATATAGAAAAGTCCATTTTCTATATTGACCCGACCGGGAATCGAACTCAGGACCTCAGAGATAGCGACACCTTGAAACCGTGCGAGCCACTAAGCAAAAATTCATTTTTTAATAATGATGAAGTAGGTGTTTTGCTGTTGTAGATTATCTTCTAAGAAATAACTAATTAATTCAGGTAATGAAAGATGTATGAGATAATGTTAATTGTTAAATCAGTAAACGGAACCTAGATAGAACTATAACATCATCATATCTTGTGAATTTCGTTTTCATATGTAAAATAAATCGAATAACTTTACATCTTCACCAGCTATAAAAAAAAACATATTTATGAAGTTTTTCTCTTTGTTATAATTTTTATTCAAGGAACAAGAATCTGTTGAAGATAATCATAGATAAATAATCATTTACTTGTGAGTCACAGTATAAAAAGGTATAAAATATATTGTTAAAATCCTTCGATCAACAATACAACTAGACGTCCGGTCAGAGTCTCAAAGATGCCTTAAGACATAACGCCTCACTTCAAATTGCAGTCTTATTTTGATATAGTTTGTTTGTGACGACGGCGCCAACGTTCAGACATATACCGATGTCACGGTGCGTATTAAAACTGCAAATATAACTATCGGAATAAAAATGTATCTGTTAGAATATCATATTTACGAGTGATAAATGTAATTTTACAATATCTATAATTAATAATCAAAGTATTTTCAATAAAATAACCGAGTTTTGTTTCTGACGCAAGCCACGCGCCAACATGTCAGTCATTCGAAAATAGAAGGCTAAATATTCGATGTTCTTAGATACCACATACATGGAATAGTGTGCTATTACATTTTTTACCAAAAGTTTGACAATAATTGAAAACCGTCTTGGTGTAATAGTTCGTATTGTTAAATAAGCCGCGTGCATGAACATATACTTTGACTATCTACTTACAACAAAATTATTCAAAGCAAAAGATACGTTCCCTGAAAGTGACTTAAATCGGTGATATAATGTTAAATTTTTAATAGAGATGAAGATTGGAATATACCATCGACTTCGGATCCAATCATTAGTCAAATAAAATCTCAACTAAGATCAAACACCGCAAACCTAAAGTAACTAACTGTTCTTTAAACAATAAAATTATAGAGTAATCTTTGGTAGATAGATAGTATGGATAGTACTGAAAGATTATTTCGCTATAAATTGCCTTCTTAACATTGTAACGTAAAAGTTTTAAATTATAATGTGTGCAAAGATTATAGATTTTAAAATTGTACTTTTTTGAATTTAAATTGAAAACCTCCTACCTCCCTTAATTATCAACGAATTGACAATACGCTCCATTAATTACCCAGTACCGGAGCTCAGTTTTCGCCTAGACAGGTATGGGCAACCTTGGACATGTTGTGAGCCAAACTTAAGTATGCAAATACGTTCGCAGGCTGCGTTTAAGAGAAGTACATTTAAAAGTAGTGGTATAGTGCTCATAATTTTTTGCGATAGATATCAGAAATAATGCGACAATGTTATTATCAATTAGGTTTTTCAAAATGTCTCACAGAATATACTCTGTCGTATTATTTTCCTTGGTTGTCGCAGTTTATGGTCTATGGTTTGGTGCCGTATTTAAGTATTGTTTTATGATGGGAGGCGCAATCTTCTTCTTAGTCTGTAGGGATTCGTTATCTCTTTATATTGTTGATCGAAGGTCAAATCAAGAAAATCATCGCCATCTTTCATTCATTTCATTTTACATGTAAAAATTTATTTATTTACTTGACATTGGCAAAATTGTGCGAAATGCGCAGATAAACCATTAATAAAAAAAGAAAATAAATGGAAATTTGACATTTATTTGTCATTGAAGTATCGCACTCTTGTTTATAACCGATATATGAGATTAATTTGTAAAGTTATATACATTAATTGTTTTGATATTGTATTAAATAATTGCTTGGGAATTCTTTAAGTTACTAATGATGATAAACGTAGCAAAATGCGATCATATTAGAATAAGACACGAAAATCTTTACGGTATCAATGTTGAACAGTTTATAAAATTAATTGAACACAAATACAAGATTGATTTTAGATCTTTGCCACAGTGGAAAGAACTTGTGCAACGGTTGCACGTTTCAACAACAGATTGCAAACGTAAAATTCAAGATGCAAATTATCGCAAGTCACTTATAATTAATAAATTGTGTATGCAATTTACTCGGAATTCGCCCTTTGAATTGACAGATAAACTAGCTAGAACCTACATAAAATGGCAAGTCATTGGTCGAGGCAAAGCACCTAAAATAAAAATAGAATCGATCCCTGATCTGAACATATCCGCAGAATTAGAAGGTACACTAGATGAAAATATTGAAACACCTTTAACTGTTCATCCGAATACTGAAATTGTGGAGACTGAAGTTATTAGTACCGAAATACCACCACTTAAATCAGTCGGGGACTCTGATTCCAAAGTCACCGAAACCTTGTCTCATTTGCCTGTAAATATTTCTGTAAATCAACATAAATATCTTTCACCATTAAATTCTCGGGATATTAGTTTTGAATCTAAAGTGAGTTCATTGAAAATGAAAAGCAATCCTACGATAAAATCGAATATTATGTTCATGAATAATACTTCGTTAAGCAGTAACCCTAAAGAAATTTTCATCGAGAAGAAAACACTAGAAGAAGAGATTATAAAATTCTCTATCATTAATTGTACAACGGAATTCATGTTTATACGTTATTTACATATTATTAACGATATGCCATTTAAAAAAATAAAAATAATTCCACCTACACCTCAAAAACTTTATCCAGGGCTAGCGATGAAATTCAAATTAATTTACCAACTTAGAAATTGTGACGAATTGTTTACGTCTGCATTGTTCTTTAAGATCAGTAAAAAAATAGCAAGTGGATCTCTTGCAGAAGGTTTTGAAATTCCAGTAGTGAGTAAATTCAATCAACAAAGAAAAGTAGCAGTGAATGATTCAATACACATTCCTCCTGCTTATCTGTGGCAAATTCGACAAGATACTGGTTTTCCTTCAGCAATTGTTCATGTATCTGTATTAGATGACTATGCTTACCATTTGCATATTACTAAACGTCAGATTGATATAACGCATGAATTCCAAGATAGTTTTGTTTCTATGGAGGTTATAAGCGATAGCACAGAAAGCTTCGCTGAAAGAATAGGCGATGAAGACGTTGTAGCTCACAGTAAAATGCTTACTTCTCAAACAGAAGATGTCCATGAGGAAATTATTACTACTTTAGATGTCATCGAATTGATTATGGAAGATATATTGCATCTGGCACTTAATAGTTTTGTGTTTGATCATACCTATTTATATTTAAAACCGAAATCGGACAATAGTATTCGTTTGTATTTTACTAAACCGGTTTGTATAGGAAGTCATCATTGTTATTATGACTTTAAATTCTATGATGCGGTGACAGGTGATATAATATTAACAAAAACGGTGAAAGTGTTTGCGGAAGTTTTACCTCATCCCATACAAATCTACCCGACGATATTAGATATGTCGTTGTCTCCAATCACACATGGAATTTGCGAAGACATGATAATAATCACAAACACACTCAGATCCTATCCAGTTACAATAAAAATAAAGTTGACTACAAAAATGAAAAAACTTTTTCGAGTGGACCCAATGGAAATATTTATTCTTCCTGCATCGAGTGCGAAAATTTATATTAAATTATGCTCTAAAGAAGCATGTTTGCATAACTTGGAAAATTTTGCATATTTTACTTTCAAAATCATCGTATCGGGTGACAAATCGGTTTATAAAAATGTGCCTCCGTTTTTCTATGAACTAATAGCTCCTTGTGCCACTCAGTTCAAAAAGATTTATTGCAATAAATATTTTTCGGAGACCCTAAAAGAAGCTGATTAATATTTCCTGTTTTCTTTAATTATATTCTAAATATTTTGTTGCGGTTCGTAATGCTTTTTCCAAATAAAATTCTTAATGCTTACATGATTAAGTATAAATTAATAACTTGAATCAATCAGATGAGTATTTAACACCTTTTGTATTAATAAGCAGTAAATAGGGAATGCTGCCGTCTGAGTAAGGCAAGGATAAAACCTGCTGGCCGACTTTAAATGTATTACGGGTCAACAAGTTGATTGCCTGAACCCGCATAATATCCCAGACCAGATACACAAGTCGCATGAGCGCCGTTTTTATGTGACACTCGATTGTAAATCATGCTCAAGTTTTATGAGTTCGATTGTGATTTACATGTTGCATCGCTCTAAATGAATGAACAAAGTTTCATAATATTATCGTGTAGTTGTATTCTATCAAAAATTTACAGATTTTGCTTGTGTTTTTTTCAATAACGTCGTCAATAGTGGACCGATTTTGACGAATCTTTCTTTTTATATGAAAGGGCATATTTTAAGGGGTCCCATGAAAGTGGGTCGGTTATCTTCGTAATCTACATGAAATATTAGTAATCCAATGACCGGAACTTAACCTTATATTGTCTGAAATATTATTTTTTAATTTATTTGACTTTTGTGGTCATATCATAAAGACTGTACTTTTGGGATAGTATTAAAACAATTAATTATCGCATTTAAATTAATTACTTTTGTATAACAGAATTCTTAAATTTCCTCAAATCAAGTACTTAAGAATGCTTTAAACTTTATTGTATACTAATAAATTAATAGGTATATAACATTAGCAATTTTGATCGCCTAACAAATTGGATTATCTTTCTGTAGGCATCGTAAACCTACTTGGCATTCGACGCGCTGGTATCGATTCTTAACAGTATATCAATTGAGAATCAATCGAATTTTGGAGTAGCATCACGATATTGATTTGTATGCCTTTAACGTAGACTTTCTTTTTCCATTGCAAAAAAAACATACATTGACTGCCAAAACTTTGTTCTTATATCTTCACGCCTTAAAACCTTTTTAGTTTTAAATTCGATCACAATCGGGTCAACATGAAGAAACCTGAGAATTATAATGTCAACAAAATATGTATTTATATAAAACAGATTTTTGAAAACACCATGTATTTGTTGAAATACTTTGTAACGTAAAACGCTTTTGAAAGCCTATTAAAATTCACATTGAAAATGAAAAAATATTTACATTACAAAACTAAAAAGCAAGAAGAAAATATAGAATAAAAAATTGCATAATACATAAAAATTGCTCATTTATGCTTGTTTTCTATTCTGACGACACAGTAATACAGACCCTTGTGCTTCAAAAAATAATTGAAAGAACGAAAAATACTTTTAAATGCAAATTTGTAATATCTAATCTAGTTTTCAGTTTTTTGTAAGTCTTTATACCATTATGCGAGTGCATATCCCACAGCTTCGGTCAAAGGCCGCGCCGAAAAGCGTCGTAAGTTAAACAATAACACATTTTACGGAGATAAAATGTGTAGAGATAAATTGCGCGATGCGAGCGCATGAGCAGAGATTTGCACGTTCTCTCGATTGTGCGAAAATCCACAGCTCCAGATTCTTATTTGGTTCACAAACATTTGTGATACTTAATTTACTATTTCTTTGAAATGTGAATAGGTATTTTCTTTTTCTATATAAGTTTCATAATGTGATAACATATATTTTACGTACCGTTGTAAACTTTTAGTTTATTTGAATCTGAGACTACAGAAAAGTTTGTAAATTTCAAAAGAAAAACTGACTATACACATCTATATCTATTTATATAAAACAGTGTCTGTTCAGTTGTCCCGCTAAAACTCGAGAACGGCTGGACCGATTTAGCTGATTTTGGTTTTGAAATATTTGTCATAGTCCATGGAAGGTTTGAAGGATGTGAGTTGACGAAGTGCACTGAAACCATCTAGTCTATATAAAAAAACTCGTATTACGCTGTATGTTTTTGATCAACTTTAAAACTACTGAACCGATTTTAATAAAATTTCACATGTATTTGTAATTTAGTCTAATTATAATAGGACAGTCTTTATTTCAATTAATTATTTCTATGAGCACAGCAACGCGTGGCTGGGTCAGCTAGTAGGCTGTAATAGTCTAATGTATTAGAATAGTTATTTCTTTATAGGGCAAAGCTAATATTTCGCTATGTTTCATTACCGACCGTATGTAGTAAAGACTTCAACGCGTTCTTGTTTAAGACTATAAAAACAATCCATATACGAGCGACGCCGACTTCGCATGGGCTTTTATCTATGCTAATATGTTAAATAGGAAATTATTTGTTCGCGTTAAATAATGTCCGAAACTACTGGAATGGTTTTAAAAATTATTTAACATCGTACGCGGATGACTTCAGTCGAGGGAAAATAGCTACTATTCGATAAACAGAAATACTGTTTTCGAGCTGCACAGTTTGTTAATTTAGTTTACTAAGCGAATTACTCTTATTTTATTTACTGAATAAACGAAAGCATACGTTAATAATGTTGTGCAATTCTGGTATAAAACAGCCTAGCCCTTGACGACGATTGCTGCAAAATCACTGCATAGAGATTCAACAAAATAAAATCGGATTCAAAATGGAATAAAGGCTCTTACCTTGATAAAGGTCGGTCTCTAGATCGGAGTAAGAATAAGTTTTATTTTAAAATAGCATCTGAACACCCAAAGTTGGAAACTTTACCTCTATGTTAGTATAGCTAACAATCAACAAACATAGATAGAGTGTTTTAAAGGTGAAAAAGGATAAAATATATCTGTAAAGCCACCATCTAACTTGCATCCGAACTGTGGAATAAACAAAACATTCAAAACCCTTTATTTAACCACTAGCTGTTTTCACACTACTTTTCCCGCGTAAATTATAACCTATATCACCTCCGTATGATGTAGCTTCCCGTAGGCATGGATAACTTATTAGTCCATGCCGTAGGTGCACGAATTTTTGAAATTGGTCCAGTAGTTTCGGTCTTTATGCAAACAAATAAATCATATCAATTCATATATAGATTTCGACTTCATTAATAAAATAACGAGTAAAAATCGATATTTCTACACTGAATAGAGCCCATTGCATCCGATGACATAGATTATTACCAGTGGTCGGAATTAGGTAGAGTGTTTCATGTACTTACACTGATTTCATACAGCGAAAGAATAAAGTGGATATGCCTCAAATCCCGAGATTAATTTTAAAGAGCAGAAAACATCCCGTGATTTTTTAAATAAAAAGTTATTTACTTTTACACAATTTAAACTACTGCACGCACGACGTTGCCAAACTTACATCAATGATATCAGATGTCCAAAGTTGAAAAATACCAATACGCGGGAAGGTCCACATTAATATCAACATTTCGATGCAAGTACATAAATAACTCTACCTAATTCCGACCTCTGATTATTACAGAAAAACTTAGTAAAGTCAAGAGATCCTATCAATTTTATGAATAACGAATAAGAATATTTAATCGAATGGAAAGAGGGAAGGAGGACACAGCAATCCTCAGCTTTTAATTAATGGTGACAATCATGATGTTTAGTAGGAATAGTATGTAATTTTCTAGGAAAACAAGATACAGAGATCAGTGGGTAATATTAACGATAGCTCATATAAATTAGGGAAATCTAAGAGGCAACTAGAAGGAATATAAGGCATAGGTTCAAGACAACTTTACTATGCAGTTTTGAATTAAGAATATGTCACATAAAGACTCAATGCATTCCTTAAGCATATTGACAATCAGATTATAACGAGCCTTTTATCAATTACAATTTAATATTAAAAAATGCATGAATCGGGAAATCACAATACATTGTCAATCGAATAACACGTAAATGAAAACTCGCCAATTCGTTTTATCGATAATATCTGCAATCACGACACTTTCATCTTCATTAAATTCATGTACAAAAAATGTTGCATTAGCGACACGTTCTTCTGATGCTCAGATGAAAAGTGATTAATTTGGTCTAATTAAAATCCGTATTTCGAACCATCTGTCAGTTTTTAATTAATAACAATCTACCAATATTATAAAGAAGTAAAGTTTCTAACTTTGTGGGGGATAATCTTCGGAAACTGATCATGAATATTTTTTCGATTAAATCATGCACTGTTGCTATAGGCTATAATTTATGCTGGCGAAGTTGCGGAATATTGTTTTATACAGCTAGATATTATTTAATATAGATATAGCTAGTTCAATAAAGCTTATCAGAAACGGTTGGTTATATTATTTTTAACTTTACATAAATTATGCAGATACTAAATATACTTTGCATTTAAAGGCCCGTTAATAGCATTTTGCATAAATAAGCAGGATGCATAATTGTACGTTTGATAATAACAGCTTCTGTGATGCATAAATTTAAAGTCAAAAAGTTATATTTTTATCAACTTGTTTTGCGCATGTGCTAATAAATAGTCTTAACGAGATGATTTATTATTATAATATATCAACATATTATGCATGCGTTACACATCAAGTCAAGGATGCTTACCTCGTTATCGCAACAGTTTAAACAGCTAAAATATCACTAATGTCCTTGAGCACACACTGATCGAATATGTCCTTCGCGAGCGATCATCGCAAGAAGTATCGGCCGATTGGATTGTGACAACGCACTTGCTAAAAAAGTCACTGTTTTCTGAAGTCGTCCTTGATGAACGGTACTTCGGTAAGTCACTTTCGTCCTCGTGTCCTTCGACGCCTAATGTGTTGAGTGATGCGTCGATTGAGGACTTTGTATTCACTTGCCGCCGAAACTCTCTTTGCTAATTAGGATGCGCGGTGCGTCCCTCACTTTCCGTTTAGCGAAAGAATGGAGTGCACCACCCCTGGGTATTGGACCGGTGGTCATCGTTCACTAGTTGACGTTCGGCGCACTCATGAGGTTGTTTTACAGCTTTTCGTATGAATCAGTTATCCACGGGCGGTGGCGCGGCAGTACCGGTACGGAATGGGGCTTGGCGGGTGCGATCGCTCGACGCTGCTTCGCCAGTTGGCCACTGGGTTACCGGCGTTCCTTTTCCTGCTCTCTTTAATGGGTTATACAAGCGTCTGCTGAATTCCGCATATACAAGACGCAAATTAAGCGTAGGGTAAGGTAAGTAATATCATCCTCATAATATAAATTTAGGATTGATGATAAGATTCCATTCTTATTTTGCCTGTACGCAAAAATACGCCTGTACGACTTAAATGTATATATTGGAGAATAAAATAAATCTTCAAAGATAATTCCAAATATCAATGAGACAATTATGTCGGTTTGTTTTGCCTGCAGCTGCTACATTCGTTACTATATCATAAATGTTAATTACGTGTTATGATGAACAAGATAATTAGATAAGGAGCCTCCTTTTATAACGCTATGACATATCATCATACAATTAAGAATTGAAAGTATAAAAACATTAAAAGGTGAGTGCAACAGTACCCTGTAGCTGCAAGCCGTCGTTAACCGTATAAGATGCGGTTGATAGTGACAGAACTGGGACGGAACATATCGTGACAAATTTTAATCTAAAGCAGTTCGTATTATGACGTATTATTTCGTAAAATAACACAATAGGACGCGGCAGTAATCATTTAAACATACAAAAGACGTACGAAATATGACTGTCGAAGTTTGAAATGTATCTAATAACTCGTCGCAATTACATGCTTAATGAATAATATTACATCATAATCTTTTCGCAACAATGGCAAATATTTTTTTCTTATTTTTTATTAAGATCTTGTTTTGTATTTATTTTTATTTTTTTCATTATTTTTTGGTATGGAGAAATTATTTATCAGTCTTAATGACTGTCACGAAGATTTGCCAATTCTGTTTCTGATAAATAGAATATAAGACAATCTTATTTTGTTATAATTCGCTTTCTCTCTCAAATTATTACGCGTTATTATGGACAAATAAATAAAATATATTTAACTTACTTGGATCTATTATTTGAAATTAGAAGTTGCCCACCATCTACGATCGTGGCTGTTTAAGATTCCGTGTTACTTTTTTCTGAATAAAATTTAAGTGTTTTCTGCTTGAAGCTATGTGAACTAATGCCGAAATTGCTGAAAGTGGAATACAAAAAACTGTCAAAATGTCTATGAACCATTATCCCTGTGATATTGCACTAACATTAGTGTGTCGTATAAACCGTTAAAATATTCGAAACGTGCAAAATGTTTTCAAAAACTATTACTTTTCTGAGTTTTTTTTTTTTTGAGTCCTACTTACCTATTACTATTTGGCTATTTATTTCAGTAATACTCAGAACGACTCTGTTGTCACAAATTGATATGTTTTTCAGAATTTGGTGTATCTGAATTTAGAGCCAAGTACGTATATCATTCCTCTATTATCATGCATAATTTCAGCTCAATAAAAAAGCGGGATGTGGATTTTGTCTGTTACTAACTAACAAACTAACCAACACAAAAACGAAAAAATCTTGTAATACTACATTCGTTTTCAACTTCCTGTGTTTTCAAGCTTCGATGTATGTACTTCTAAACCATATAAAGAAATTTGATGCGGTTTTAAAGTCAGATAATCAAATTCTTTATAAAAAACAAATTCTTAAATTACGCAAGAATAAATTATTATTTATATATAAATTATTTGTATAAATTATTTGTATTTTGTTCAAAATATATGTTCCTATATAAGATCTTTATAAGTTGTTTCTTTAGATATTTTATATAACTATGTATATAATTTTTTTAAACTATCTTTTATACCCAAAATTCATTCTTTAATTACGAGTATATTATCAGAGATTATGTTAACGTAACGTTTGTCTTTGGTTCACCGACGTATTTATATCTATGAAATTTTAGTTCAAATGATCAAGTCGTTTATGACCACATGTGTACCAGGCGGACGGACAACCAAATCATCATATATTGTGAGAAAGCTATTTAGGTATAGAAGCCTAAAATATACGTAGTCCCTACTTTGAATTGCAAACTGTCAGTTTCAATAATTAAATACAAAGGGGAGACATGGTTTCTAGTTAGGACTCGGTAAAAGCCATTGGCACACTGACTGACGCCTAGTGAAATAAATAAAACATTTTACAGCTTCTTTGTTATGTTAATTAATCTGGCATACATTTACATACTTCCAGGGTGAAATTTAGTTCGCGTGACAGTATGACAGAGGCATATATTAGCCACGGCACCGATTTGGTAGTAGTTCATCTGGTGTAGCGTTTTCAATAACTAAAATTATTGAATTCTCTTTATAGTCAAAGAGGTCGTGTAAGAAATGTACAAGAGTTTTCTAAAGCTTCATCATCATCGACCTATTAATGTCCCCACTGCTAGGGACAGGCCTTTCCTTGGTCTAAATTAGAAAATAAATCGTATAAATTAGAAAAAGGAGACTGGGCTACGACCCACCACACGGGACCAGTGTGGATTGGTGGGTGTTAACGACTGCTCATGCATCCGGGACCAACGACTTAACGCGCCTTCCGAAGCACCGTGTAGCTCGAGATAATTGGTCATCCATCCCTATGACTGGTCTTTGTGAAATTTGCTCAACAACGGTATCGCAGATCTTGATATATCATCATGTTGAAATACTGATCCGAGGTGTTCCAGCACTTGATCTCCGCACTGGTTACTGAGTAATGTATAACCCTTAGTAAAAAACTATTGGACATTTTTGTAACGATCTCTCTGCCTATTAGGCGTGACTGTATTGTTCAACAGGTCGAACTGTGAATCGGCCATGCGACTGTTATTATGAGCCTCTTTGTTTTTCGTTGAAAACCGGTAACCATGTTTTCTCATAGATTTACATATCTTATCTATACATATATAAAAGGAGATGTCCTGACATATTGACTGACAGACAACGCGCAGCCTAAATCGTAGTGGTCTACTAAGAACGTATTTTTGGAAATTTCACCCAGAATGGGGTCTAAAAAGGTCAAAGCATTTGTATGAAACTATTTTGTTTTATATCTACCTATATTTATGAAAAATTGGTACTTGGGTATAATAGGTTATATTTTTTTGTTTAAGGGATAAAAACGGGAGTAAAAGTTTCAAAATTCAAAATTTTAGAAATCAAAATTTTACCACTGCAGCAAATCTATCTAATAATATTAGATTATATCTTATAAAGATTTCATTATATTGTAATAAAATTGGTATTTGAGTAACATAGTTGATAACATAAATAACATTTGAAATAAATATTTTTGAAAATATGCAAGTACAGAAAAAAACATTTTATATTTGAGGCCTGAGCTCTTGCAGTGAGGACGTAAAACGGCTGATGATGGTGATACTACATGGCGACTGAATTGGAAGATTTCATAATATACTTTAACAGTGCTACTTATAAACAAGGTTTAGCGTTGGAGTAAATTAACGCTGAGACTGCTCTTCGTATTGGTCAAAATTCATATTATTAAACAGAGACTTGACAAAGGTTAACGTAGTACGAGGTTCTACGGGAGTAATATTTGCTCCTAGAAGGTAGTAGATTTGCTTATTCTCTGTGTAATATAAATATGGACTAATATTAAAATTGCAATTTTAGCGTAAATTCACTCTGACGCTTAACCTTGTTTATAAGTAGCACTGTAAGAGGGCAAATAGCTGATTTGAGTGAGAAAAAAGATATTTGAATGAGATTATTTAATTTACCTTAATCTAATAGTTTATTGTAAATTGGAGTTTACGTTAGGTAATACAATACAAATATTCTTTATTGTATGTAGTACACACTATTGTTGACAAAATTAAGTTAATAACTGTTAATAGGATACAAGGGCGACCTTATCGCTGAAAGTGATTTCTTCCAGATAACCTTTGGATGGACAGTATAAAAAGAGATATGCGGTAGCTTTAATTTACTTATAATTGTGTTAATTTACTTATACAAGTGTTTTCCTGCAACATCGCACGCGTAAATTATTATGTAGTGAACATTTTTTTTAAAATCGGTCTAGTAGTTTCGGATCCTATTCGATGCAAACAAACACACTTACAAACAAAGAAACAATCAAATATTTCCTTTATAATATTAGTATAGATAAGTAAGTTTGACAAAATAATAGTTTTAGTATAAGACAAACATTTTGTGGGAATACAAATCCACATTTTAAATTTTATCATGTCTGATTTGTAATTGTACATTTATTTCCGTTGGTAAATGATTAGGAACAATCTCAAACATATGCCATTGTTTCGTGAGAGATTTGCAAAAAAGATTTGAGTAATATTCATGAAGTTATTTCTTAAAAAAAAGATAACTATAGCCTAAATCATCAAATCTATCCATAAAATTAATTCAATTCACGTATTTGCCAAATGACAGAGATGAAAATGGGAGATGTGCAACTGATTCAGGCAAGCGCGGTTCGTTTTTGAGGTTTGTACCAAACAGGATCTGAATGTCTAACGATGTAGTTGTTTTTGTATTTACGCAGTTATGTTTAATATGTCTTAAATGCCAAATGGCATAGACAAAGGTAATGAGGTCACGTGAGGTCAGGATAGCGTATACTTATGTGAATTAGAATATAACGAATGAGAACCATAAATAATAAGGTCGCTATAAAAAAAATCAAACACTACCTACGTTTTATTTGCAATTAGGAGCGACATGTTATGATTTATGACAAAAGCTGCAGTGCATACTGTTATGAAAACAGTCTGAAACACGTTGTTCGACATTAAATGCGTTATCATCATCAGCCCTGTTACGTCCCCACTGTGAGGGCTCAGGCCTTCCTTATGGATGGTTAAGGAGGATGGGCCATAACTCTCCGCGCTGGCCTAATGTGGATTGAAGGCCATTAACGACTACAGATATTCCTTCCGAAGTACAGAGTAGCTTGAAATAATAGTTTGTTGGTCACTCATCCCGTGACTGTCCCTAGCGAAAGTTGCTTAACAACAACGTTCGCGGGCATGTTTAATAGAATAGCTGACGGCCATGCGAATGCTGTAGTGCTTCTGTGTTATTAAAACAGCTCCGAACTCAGCGCTGTTACGTCACAGACGGTCAATCAAATGAATACTACTTCAAAAGGTAATAAAGGTTGAAACTCTGCTATGACAGCCCTAAGCCCTAAATTTGATGACGAGTTCGAGACTATCTTAAATAGACCAACAAATGAGCTTTGAACTAGAACATTTATGTCTTTTTGGAGACTGCTAAAAATTTACATATTATATAATAAACCAATTTTATTCTAAATGTAATTTATCGTATCCACAGAATAAATTAATTTAATAAAAAAACTACTAGCTTCCCGCTTGATACTAACTAAGAAGATTTATTTGGATTTCGATTAACATGACACAGATATAATCACAATGACATATTGAATAATAACAATGGTTGCTATGGTAACATTTTAATTCCATAAACAATCTTCCACTCTCACTTTCATCTCTTTTGTTGTTTTTCTGGATAAAATATAGCCTATGTTCACCGCATGTGATGTAGCTTCCCGTAGGTGAAAGAGTTTTTGAAATCTAGTCTAGTTGTTTTGGAGTCTATTCGATGCATACAAACAATCTAATATTTCCTTTTTATAATACTTATAAGTTTATATATTGACTAAACTAAACGATCGAAGTGAAATCAACACAAAAGTAAGCAAAATCCTATCCATAAATTCTGTAGGTATATAATAAATCTATGTGACATCTATATATTTTTATACTAATGTAGCTCGTCCACTGTCTCCTTACTATTTCCTGACCGCAGTTTGTACTGTTGCGGTTATTAACAAGGTACTTGAATGACGAGTAGTGTTAATTGTATTTAACTGTAAAAGGAATTTAAGAACTTTGAATTGTGGTTTAAATGAGTTATAATATTTTTTTCTCTCTCATTATGATCAAAAGAGTCCGTATGCTTTTATTTATTCTACTTTTTCTTGAGAATACTTCTCTGTCTAGTGGGACTTACAAAGTCACAGCAAATTATACGAGTATATTTATGTTACCCGCTTATGAGTTAGCTTCCCGTAGATGAAAGAATTTTCATGATCAGATCAGTATTTCCTTATAAACAAAATAAGAAACTTTACCAATTTATAATATCAGTATAGATACAATCACTAAGTAACCGGCACATAGGGTTATCCAAAATCTTGTCAAATCTCGCCAATGTTCAGAATAATTTAGAGAAACTTGGCAGTTCCACATCTGATACTGATAGTGGAAGCTACACTCAGATTGATATCAGCAAGTGCGGATTCAGCGGGGAAGGGTCAAGACTCGCCTCTGAGCCGGTCGACTATTGACGCTAATCAAATTATTTAATAAAATGCATTGTCCTGACTAGATCTCGACTTTGTGATCACCTAAATAAATGCATTGCTGACTAAACCAACTTTGTCATCCTCCAACATAAAGGCTTGATCCGCCCCTGGATACTAGAGTACGACTTTGCTCAAATTTCAACCGCAGACAGGGTGCATAAAAATACTAATGTCCGAATCAAATAGTGCAATTTCACGAGATCATAGTATGTTTTGATATACATTTAATATAATTCCGGTCCCAAAATATATTGTCGGTTGAGTAAACTTCTATTAATCCTCTACTTCAACACGTTCACATCGTTATGCGTTTTGCTTTGTAATGGTCATAGTCAAACGTTGCTGATTTTAGTCACGTGTCACTTAGCTTTTGAGATTCCGTCTAACAATGAGATATGAAGTACCATGTATTTTGGTATATAAAAACCTGACTAACTGTTAGATACATGGTCGAAATAAAAATTATAACTGATTAAATAATTATAAAAGTAATATCACAAAAAAGTCAGTTACCAATACCGTCAATTTAAGATTACTTAAATTTATTCGAAAGTCGTAAAAAAATTATATCAGCAAAAACATTTTTATGTAAAATGTTACCAAGAAACATATGATATGATTATATCGTTCGCACCGCCAAAAAGGTTTCGAATTTTATGTAGAGACGACAAACTTCTCATTCTACAAGCTTTAATTTTACAAACTACACATAAGTCGATATTAACCTTGACCGTTTTGCTTCCGACATATTCTTAGGCGTATATTATACCTAGAACAGATTATACCTAGTTTTTGTAAACAAAAGGGCTCAGCCACACCTTTTGACAAAGATGTAGATTTTTGAAGCTAAGGCTTGTGGAGAGAAATCATAAAGGCCATCACCGAGTTAGCCTTATGAAAAATAAAATAACGGTCATAAGGTGTTTCAAAATTTTGTGTACTTCTAAAATATCACAAACAAGTTACTTATTTAAATTATTAATAGTATATACTGTAAAAATTGAGATAGTATATATATGTTATGCGATGTAGTCTGTTGCATCAATAAGAAATTTTATATAGTGGATTGTATGTTCGTTCGAAATATGTGCGAGTTTTTGAATTTTCCTTAAGGCCTCCGATTTTTTAACCCACCGACGCAGAAAGAGATAGTGAAAACTATGATGGACATAATTATTTATAGACTGCATCACGTACATCACTGACAGTTGGCAGTAAGGTGTCACCTTGACGTTGACGTTAGATGAGATTCGCGCCGATATGCTCCGTAAACTGCTAATGCGATGGTACCTTGTCTAAACAAAATATCACCCGTGTGTCGGCATATGAAAACAGAAAGTATAGATATCACAAAAGGCAAGAGATAAATTATTTATTCTTTATTGAAATAATTATGAATAGTCCACAAAAATGGTTATACTAATTTATTAACATTTAGTTTTTTAATTAAATGCATGAATTTTCGGGAAAGAATCAATTTATATATAAATATTGAGGTATATGAAAAAAAAAATAACATTCACTTTGTAATAACACAATAACAAACAACCAAAAGTAATAATTAAACGAGAGACATTATATATTTATTATAAGTTAAATTATGTTAACTTATCGTGAAAGTCATAATTGCAGTTACTATTTTAGTCAACCGTAACAATTAACAACAAAACTTAACAATAACAATCGAAACCAACATAAAAATAACAAAAATGAACTCATCAACCTGTGTTCATTTGATAACGGTACTGATTTTTGTTTGAACGCATTTACGTCATCAAAATGGTGGCCAGGCTAGTAAGCAATTTGCGAGGATTATACCTACCGCCGAGTGGAGGATTCTTGTATACAAAATCAATTTTGTTTAACTATTGGAAACTATGACAGGTATAAATTTACTGTTTAGTTCGCATCACTTTCTTCAAGCGAATGGGTTGCACTGCACATTGACGTTTATGGACGATGGTTTTTAATTGGCGTCACGAAGTTGTTCAACCTGATATGCCGGACGAGCTATGCATAACACGGTTACTGTGCGTCCCCAGACCTTGCTGATTACACTAAATCTAAAATAGACTCTTCATGTACAACGTTGGCTGGAAGAGAAAAAAAATAAGTTAAATCATAACCTGAAATTTAAACTAAGATTATTTTAATAAGAAGGTCGATTTTAAGAGAGGTAGTGGTTTCAATATTCAACTTTTAGCTGAAAATCAATCATGCAGTTTGACTCTGCTGTTATTATGTAAGTTCCCAGCCCGAAATCTAAGTAAACTCCTAAAAGCTTTATACGAGTATATTACTTCTTTCGTAAAGCGGCGAAAAAGAAAATAAAAATGTAGAACAGCCTTTCCCAAAGTGGGCGATAACGTCCCCTTGTGAGTGTTGCAGGCCTAAAGGGCGGTAAGAGACCTAGAAGAAAATGGGGCGTTGTGTATAAGCTTGGGGGTGGGTGATTTGCAATTTCATTTAGCCAGAAGACCTCTTAGACATCGACTGCATGAGCTCTCGACTCTCAACTACAATTTGTGAACATCAACTTATATTAGTTAAGAGATTGCTCAAACTTGATTATTCTTATTATATCTTGTCTTATTGAATATACAAAATAAAAATCATGTCAATCGGTCGCTCCGTTTCGAAATGAAAGAATACACAAATAAAAAAACAACAGATATACTTTCGCATTTATAGTACTCCTAGTAATTTTTATAGATAGTAAACCGCGGGCGATCATGTTTTAACAAGTTTTGTGTTCCTGTATCAATCGGCTGGTTCATATAATATTTGTTCATATTTGTTAAGTACGATTAAGCGTCGATGTATGCATGTTTGTTTTATTCCTGTCGGCGCGTGCTGCTTATGCAATCCTATATAAACAACGTAATATTTATTTTATTTCCATTTGCGGTTTCGCGAGTTATAGATAAGCAGTACCTACTTATGTAAGTTCAACACTTACTTACATATTTTACAAAACAAAGCAATGTCCGAAGTAAAAAAGAAGAGACGGCTATACTGTACGGAATATATTAAATTCGGATTCATTGAAAATTCCACAAACACATCGTTGCCTTTGTGTCTATAAACATTTTTAAATGAAGCAATGAAGCCTTCAAGATTGCAAGATCATTTGAATAAAATGCAAGCAGATAAGAAAAACAAGAATGTAGCATATCTTCTAGATCTAGAGAAAAAACATAATACTGCAGCTGAGCATAAAGCAAAGTGTAGCAAAATTTAGAAAACCTTCATATTGACTTCACCAAACTATATCAAGACATTTGAACTTGGAAATACCAGACTGGTTGTTGGATCTGTTTTCAAATGTCAACACATCAATGTCACCTTAGCTAGAAGAATAACTTATACATTTATTGACAACAAACGAGGAAATAAAAATAAAGTTGAAAAATGGTTACTAAGTATTTTGCCTACAAAGATCGATCCCGCAATTGTACCCTGGATTGCGGTCGACGATTCGACGAGTCAACGATTCTTGATAGCATTCCGATCGTCATATTTGTGTGAACGTGGATTAAGTGCTGTGGCAACACTGCTTACTAAAAAGAGAAATCGTTTTCTTGTTACCGAACGTGGTGACTTGAGACTTATTAAACAGCATCAGATTCATCCTTCACATTAGTTTTTAAATAAAAATCAATTATGTTTATTTTATTTTGAATTAAAGATACTATGTTTGCTTACAATAAAATTGCGTTTCATTAATCATTTTTATTGGCAGGTGTAGCCTGTAAGAGTTAACTTGAGACCTGAGCGCCGTTGTGTATTGAACATTGCATATTTACCTTCATAAGGTAAATATGCAATGTTCATGTCCAAAAATTGAATTCGTAACTCAACATATGTATACCGGTCTTATAATTGATAACAGATTTAGCTGGGTTCCACATATCGGATATGTATGTGAGAAATTAAGGGCTATAACATCTAAACTATCTATTCTACGATACAAAATACCTTACATGACCTTGAGAACTTTATATATGGCCTTGGCTAACAGTGTGATCGGATATGGGTTAAGTAGTTATGGAAGAACGTTCAAAACACACTTGATTAATATCTATAACCTACAGTTAAAATTACTAAAGTTAATAGTTCCGAAAAAAATAAAAACAAACTTTTTAAATGATTTAGATTTATTTAATTATTGTGGGGTCTTGCCAATATATAATAGTGTGAGGCTCGCCATATTGATTGATGAACATCACAATAGCAATGAATTGATTGCCTATACTCGACCAAAGACATTGAGAAAGTTACAAAAATCAAAGAAATATGTGTTACCTAAATTTAATAACTATTATGGAAAAAGAAATTGGAAATATTTGTTACCGGCGATATTGAATGAAATGACTGATGAATCTGTATCTTATTATCTGAATAAGCGTAATTATAAAAAATATCTGAAAAAATACTTTCTTGATAAAAGTAAGAATGATTACATTATATAAAATTATGTTCTCATCTATTGCTAAGTAAGATTAACTTGCTTGAAATACCTTATGTCAATTGCATTGTTAAATAATAAAAATAACGTCATGTAACTATCTAATATACCTTGATAAATTATTGTAATTATTTTAGGAACGTTGTATTTGAACTCCACGGGCACTGATAAACCCGACAGGGCTTTTGTGCGCTTATGATGTACTTTTGCATGCAAAAAAAATTGTATATTTTTGGACAATAAAAAAAAAAAAAAAAAAATTACCTACTGCGCTCAAGTTTCAAGTTAACTATTGCTAGTTATAGTAAAATTCTCGTTTAAAATTAATGTTTAATCTCCGGTAATATAGCTTACAATAATTAATTAATTTAATTTGAAATTATAGTGGTTTTTAAAGTAAGTGAAAAAATGGGGGCGCTAAAAATAATTTATTCTCCAAGTGGGCAGTAGACAAAATAAGTTTGGGAACCCCTGTTCTAGGATGATAACAAGAAATTTTTGAATGACTATTTTAAAAATTCTTTCACCTACGAGAAGCTATCTACGTCATATTCGGGACCGCGGGTGACATAGGCTATAATTTACTATATTGAATGGAAACGAATGACTAGTGATCGATCAGGACTATTTCTGTGTCAGGACTATAGTAAAGCTTAGGTTTTTCACCTACCTATATTTCCCGTGGTCACGGGTGAGTCAGCCCATGACCACTGCCGGTGTAACCTGGTCGAAACATCGGGAAATATAGGTAAGTGAAAAACCTAACTATCGAAATCTATCGCGTTAATACCCGTCTTGTCCAATGCAATATAATGCAACGCGAAAGTTTAAAAGTTTATATAGTAAAGCTTTTGAAGAATTATAAATATCTGGTTAGGTTTTACCGTCCAGTGAGAAATTATGTGCATTAATATAAGTTACAAAAACAGATAAATTTTTAAGTCTTCTTATTCGCGATTTACCGTTAATGTAATATCAAGAATAAAAATATTGCAACCTCGAAGCCTACATGTGGGTATTATTACTTTCTCGAATACAGCCTGTTTCGATCGAGGAATTATAATAATATATAGTCGGACTCGTGAGGCACTGAGAAACTTACACGTGCCAAATATAGGGGTAACTAAAATGTACAGTCAACGGCACGTCAAACTATACAAAACTATGAAATTTATCCGCTTGATTTTAAAATCTTAGTGTGTTGTAGGTAGAGCTCAAGATCAATTGAGGAAAGAAATATTGTGGTAGCCTGATTCATGTCACTCACGGCTTCATATCCGTGCGTACAAGAGGAGCCTATCAAAAATAGTTCATAAAACCTATCAATTTTTTTTTAACCGATTTTTAAAAGGAACAGTTTCGGAATTCTATTATATTTTACGTCCCCGCTGCAGGAGCTCAGGCCTTTCTTATGGATGGTTAAGGAGGAGGTCCATTATATTTAAGTTTTTTTTATCATATTAAAGTATTTCAGTATTTATATTCAACTACTTAAGACTGCGCTTAAACAAAAATCAATAATTTTAATTTACTGTATGTATCTACTATTTTATTTGATTGAACTTTTAAAACTGTGCTAGCGCTGTATTCGACGCTGTGTTTTTTACACAGAATAGTAAAGTTGATCTAAAATACATAACAACAATATCTGTGATCGAACTAAAATATGAATATATTATTTGATTATTTAGTTAAAATACAGTTTTTTTTTTTGTGTAAATATTGCCACTGTTTGTTAATAAGAAAATAAATAATAATTATATTATTTAACTTTTACCATAAATGACACAATGGACATAAAAATACACCTATCATAACAGTATACGCAGTTAACTAACGTCCACAATCTATAGATCGTGAAACTAAATTTTCTCATATATTTATATATATTTATGTATGATTCCGTCTCGACTGCAGTGCTGCCGCTGCATTGCTACAGGAGCAGTGCAAGCCAATGAGGTAGTATTAAAAAATATATTTGTTCCCGAAATCAAACTAGGTGTCGCTACGGTTCGTTCTTGATTTCTCCATGACAACCTTTCCGGTTTCCTATCAAGTATAAAAGTAAATTAGATTTCAAAACTCAATAAACAACTTATATTCTTTTTATTCTTTTTCGTATTTGTATTGATATCTAAGTTTCGAACTTATTAAATTTCAGTTTTATAAGTTAAAAGGAACGGAAATGACTGTCTTTGGTCCATTCGTTTCCTGCAATAATCAACTTGTGCTAGAGTCGCCATCTAGTGGAGGTGCTTTTTAGTGCTTTTGTATTTAAAATACTTCCTCATTCTGCTAATTATAGCATCTCAGTTATATTCTTTTTAACCTAAAAAGCTATCAGCCTGGCACCGCTAAAGCATCGTGCTCTATGCAGATAATTTTAGAGTCTAGTTTACCGAGCTATTTAAGGTCATTAATCAATGTTTTATAGCCTTAAAAAGTCCGCTCTTTGACCTCACCCACAAGAACTATTGGTCAGTTATTCAACAGCTCTTAGCGTCGTTACTTTTTATGTTAAGACCAGAAGTTTATGTTGTGAACAAAGCTCGTGCCCAATTGATACAATGAACTTTATGGGAAGCTACACCATACGAGGTGAATATAGGTCATATTTTACGTGGGAATCGATTCACGAAGAAATCGCTGAACATACCTACTAACATACAAATATACAAATCCTATGAACATATAAATCCCTCCATTCGGATTTTGGATGAAAGCAAAATACAATATCTTTTGTTTTTACGTTGATATGAATATTTTCGTGACATTTGGTGAAAAGCATATTTTGTTTTGTTATAAAAAGAAAACTACCAATTCGATTTCGATAAAGGTCATAAAAATAATAAACATAAAAAAATACATTCATCGCCATCGAATATATAAGCTTCTCCTTTTCGATTTTCAAGTCGGTTAAAAAATATTAGTTATAGAGACGTAGATGTAGCGAAACTTTGTGAAGAAATTTGATAAAAAACTGTCGTATCTAGTCTTATCTAATCTTTGATATCTGAGTAATTAATTCTACTGGTTTAATAACAAAACAAAACAGAGACTTTACGACTTAGACTTGCACAAATCATAAAAATTGTCAGTACATTAAACATCCTAAGTAAATAATATATTTGTACTTAACTTTGGATTTAATGTCTCATCACCGAACCATATCTTCCCGCTGCACAATAATAATACATTAATAGAATTATCGATGTCTAATAATAAGAACTACTTAAAAAGATAAACAGTCACTGATTACTGATTTGTATCGATAAATTATTTAGTAAGCGATTAGTGATTGCCGTGTTAAGTACAGTGAGAATAATGGCAGAAAAAGTTAAGAAAAGACCTTCGTTTTTCACATTGAAAAGGTGGAACAGCCAGAAGACTGTCAACGATGAACCCTCGACACCAACATCTGATGCACCACCACCACAAACTGCGCCAATGTACAAAAGCACGAATAGTCCGTCTACAAATAGAACTATCTACTCTACAGAAACCAAACCTAGGAAGTAAGTTTTTCTATAGTTCGTACTTAAGTGACGTAAATGCCATCAAGTCTGTGTATCATAAAAGAACAACGAGTGCAAGGAAGGTTCCGTACAAAATAAGTCAATAGTTATTCCATCAGAAAAATCGAGTTTTGTCATTTTCGAGTGTTTTCTAATTTCAAATAAGGATCATTTATGTAAATAGAGGCTTAAAAGAGATATAGGTGTGTAGGTACTGTTTCTAAGTATAAAGTCGGGAAATATAGGTAGGTGAAAAACCTAACTATCAGAATTTTAATCGCGTCAATACCCGTCGTATATAATCTAATATAAAGAAAACTAAATGACAGTCGGTAGGTACTTAAGTAAAATATGAGGAAAATTTAATGTCAATATATCTACGAGCACATTGTAATTACTACAGTGAATTTTTTATATCATTCTGCAGTTCTACTCAGTAAAATAACGCTCTAATATAGTAATAGCATTCTATTCAACGATCTGTGAATACTATCAGCAATCATCATGAATTAAGGAGATCACAGTCTCTTTATAATTTATAGTAAAACTCGCCAAGTACATTATATTGATCTATTCTAGGTGTTATTGCATCTAGGCGTGGTTTTAAAGATCTAATAAAATATCCGCAGCTTTCTCACCACACAGGTTTATTTATAGCGGTGATACTGAATCTTATTTCCCACATACTTGCAGATTATCAGCAGACGGTATCCAGGATCTAGTTCAGTGTCCACTCTGCTTGGAGGTTCTTCATAATCCAAAGATGTTGCCCTGCCAACACACGTTTTGTTTGGCCTGCCTTGGTGTTTATATTTCTGGTTAGTGATGTACCTGCTCTTTTAATTATAAATATTAGTTGAGAAAGCGTCTGGTAAGTTTACAGTACTATGACATAATGTCTTGAGATTATTATAAAGTAAGATAATCTGAAACTGATATTCTTATTGTTTTAATGCGTAATGTTTCTGAGATTTGTAACGATATTGTATACGAAGATTTATCGTATGTTGTTTGGTGCAATGGGACGGTTATATGCATTGAGTCACATACAAATATTGATGTACCCCGCATACTTACATGTAGCGGTGCATTATGTCAATAACGGCATTTGAAACCCATTAAGACGGGTTTCACTTTAGCAAGAAAAATAATCCAGCCCGATTCGAATTCGATCGAGCGCAAATGTCTATTAATATTTGCTTAGCAGCTTCTGCATTCGTAAAGTGAAATAAGCGCACAAATGTAAAATTTGCGCTACAAACGAAATCAATTCGATCGATCGCACCTTTCATTGGGTTCCCTCGGAAAACAACCTCTGCCAGTCAGTACCTAAAATACATGCTGATAAGAACGCTCTATACTTACCTGGTTGAAATTGGTTTTGATTAAAGTTTACGGTGTCCTAAATTAAGAGGAAATAATTGTAATTTTGCAATGCGCACACCTTACCCTCGCTTATTTATTACTGGGCATATGATTTCTTCTCAGAATATAGGTTGCCTGGAAGATATCGCTGTTAAGCGATAAGGCCGCCTATTGTATGATGAGGATTTTTATGTTTGTATTGTTTGTATGTTAATAAATAAATAAGAAGTCAATGGTACTAAAACTTACCTGTGTTCCAGTATTGATAGTCGGAATATTCAGTATCGTTATGCGAATTTAGTAACACGTTTTCCACTTTTTTTAAACTTGTAAAATTAATAATATCAGATCTATTTGGTGTATGAAATATTGAAATTATGTATTATCATATAGGCATTTGTTACATTATCGAAGCTTTATTTTAATATAATTCTTTTTAATATAACGAATCAATGAATTAGGACATAAATGATAACAAAGACTTCATTTACCCTTCAGGCTCGCCGATAATCAAATGTCCAATATGTAATACGAAGATCCAAGTAAGCGGTCCGAACTATGTGAACGAATTACCACCAAATCTTTACATCGATTCACTTTTGCGTTTAATTGGTATCAACAAAGGTACCATCAGTAATGAAGGGTCAAGCAGTCCAGTAGCCACGACGCCACCTTCTAATCTTCCTACCAATTCAGGGACAAGTGTAAATTTGTTTGCTGGCGGTACACGCTGTTCTCAATGCAAGACTATGTGTGATAACCCTGACGTGATATGCTGCAAACATTGCAAAATGGTAATGGCATTAGAAAGTTGTATATTTACCAAATAGTTCTTTACTAATATAATGAAACTTAATAACGTGTGAAGCGTTAATTAATTTCAGAATTTCTGTCGGGTTTGCTGGTCACAACACTTGGATGACATGAAAACACAACTTTCTTCGATATTGAAACAGTTAGATTCGGCTGCTGACCGTTTAGACCATAAGATTGAACATTTCAAAGTAAGTATCTAATTAATTTGTTTTAATAAGACAAGAAGTATTACCTTGGTAATTCTAATAAGAAAGCACAACTTTATGTGTTAATAGTTCAGGGAATTGTTTGATTTGTATAACGACCATACAAATGATTAAGATTCAGAATACAATATAATATCTTCTTTTATATATGACAGGACCGTTGCGAGAGAATCTTAGAACAAATAAACATTACCGCCGAAGAGAAAATCAATGAACTTTTGGAGAAGAAAGAACAAATAATCAAAGAAACTGCAGAATTACAAAAAGCAGGAGACATGTCCGCTTTAGCTTTGAAAACTTCACTAGAAGAAGCGAGAGATGTAGCATTGAAAGAAATGAGTGACAAAACGACTACGGATGATTCGACGAAGGTTTTAAAAACTTTTCTATACTCACATTTCATTATTATCATCTCCCGGGCTTCTTTCCAATTTTTGACAACTAGATTTATATTCATGTTATGCCTTTTGAAATGCATCTGTGCCTATTTTCTATGGTCTTATATGTTACAATACTAATACAATTGATTTTAGGTGATGACATTTGTTAATTTGCATCAAAACACATTACACATATTATCGGACGTGTCTAAATGGGATACTGAACGTTTCGTTTTTGACAAGGAAGGTTTCCGTATAGAGTTGGACTCTGCGACTCCATTATATGCAGAATCTGATGATCCTCTACCTGAGGGAGCAAAGCAGAACAACCCACTTGAAAGCGAAGACAGCTTATGCATGTATTATAGGTGAGCTTATGAAATAGACCTGTACCTCTCAAACATTTATCTTGCGGAATGTACTTCATACTTACTGTATATGTTATTAGAACTGTTATTTTATTGTTGGATTGGGTCAAAACTTCAAAGTCAAATTTGCCTCTCTTTTCGACTTGCGATTTAGTTGGAATTTATAAATTAGGTATGCATAGTCAGTATTATTATAAAACCAAAATGGCCTCCGCAAAAAAATGGTAATTATGTACATTTTTGTAAGTATCATAATTATTGGTATAACCTAATACAAACCAAATAAAAGATTTATAATACAGTGCACCATAAAATCATAATGATCAAAATTCCATTTCAAGATGGCCGACAGCCGCCACAAACGCATTATTCGCTAATGAAATAGGATAGAACAGATTACTACATTATTTTCCCAAATAACGATGAATTATATATTGAGTTTTCACTTTCTTTATGTCACTGGTGGCGTCAATTTGTGACAGAGAACTCTACATTGAATCTTGTAACTTTATAGGTCGAGAAATTTCGTCCCTCATTTCGTTTGGCGGAAAGCTTCTCGGCCCGGTGGAATAGGTATCAGTCCTTGGACTGGACACTTGTATATCTGCGGCATGGACATCCACTGTGTTCTGATAGTGGAACGTTCTCAAGCCAAGATAGTCGGCAGATTGACGCACGAAAACATGTTGTGTCCCGTGCAGATTGCGTTTATGAAAAGTTTGGGAGAGATTTATGTTGCCGGTAAGTTATTAAATGTTTTTTTTGTTTGTAGGTTTCAAATATTTTATGAAGGAGTTCACTTGTAAGTCGATCGGTTTACATAATATTTACTTATAACAGGGGTGACGCCTGGGTAAAATCAAAATATATTCCGTCCATAAATTACGTCACACAAAATTCATGATTTTTAAACCCCCCCCCCCTGTCACATGTTTGTCTATACAAATTCTACTAAATATTGTTCTCAGTTCGTCGACCCCCCCCCTACTATTCACAGCCCTTCCCCCCCCTCCTTCCGTCACAGCTATTTTAAAAATGAACAAAAGCGTGACGTCATGTAACGTTGTAACTCAATGTATCATCAATTTTATTGATTATGCAAAAAATACGTATTTATTATCCTTCTATCTACCTGACGTACAGCCAAAAAAATAGTAATCACCCTATTACTTAAGTCACAGCAATATGCCAGTTTTATATTGTGTTACTTACAATTAAATATATTATCTCGATACCTACAGAACTCTAATGACCTGTGTCACGTTTATTCCGAAAAATCCTAAGAACAACTACATAAACAGTTCTTTTTACAATACCGTTAGTAGAGAGAAGTAAAAGCTTATTATTAATCCTTTAACCATAACTTTTTTAGCCTCGTAACAATTTATTTTCTTAGGGAAGTACTTTTGAATTTCGATTGACCTTATTTTAGTAGTGATAAGTACAAATGTTCTTGCTACTTCAACATAAATCTTTATACTGAAGGCCTTCATGCCGTCTCTTTGTATTTAGAATCACATCCAAAGATGAGAAAAAAAAATTTTATTTGAATATTTCTAAAAACGTTAATCAAATAGCAGTCGAAATAAATAAGTTTACGTTTCAGACAAATGGAAGCATTGTGTTCACGTGTTTTCTATGAGCGGCGACTATTTGAGAGCGATCGGTCAGAAAGGTAGTCGGTATGGTATGTTTAGATCCCCGGAAGGTATCGCTGTAGATAACTCACAAAACCACATTTACGTGGTAGACACTGGCAATGATAGAGTGCAGGTGAGTTGAAATACTAACGTGTTATTTGTAGATACTAAAAAAAATATCACTCATCTCCTAATGGTCCTTGAACCGGAATTATGAATTTTGAAGTATATGATGTATTAATGTTAAACAATTAAATTCAGGTTTGCTATTCTGTATACTTAATTCAAAACAACAAAAATAAAAATACAATTATATATGCCTTTCTGTATTTAAAAAAAATTGTTGTCTGTAACTTTGGCTAATTATCAGATATTTATCGGTTAATTATTCGATAAATACAACTATCTTGATAATTACGAACCCTGCTGAAAATAAATTACCGTTGAACATAATGTCTAGGACAACGCTATCACAGCTTATAGGTTTAATTAAACTTACTTCTAAAGGCAATAAAAAAACTCCATGGTGATCACAGATATTAGGCCCCCGTGTTTGACCTTCAAAGTTTTGTTTGATTGGCGCAACAAACCTCTATGGGGCGACAGGTTGTGGCTACGACCGACGCTGATGTTTTTTACAGAATACAAACTAGAACTGCTATTCAACAGTTTGTTTTGTGAAATTAATCAGTTTATCCTTTATGGAAATAAGTATACTACCTATTTTGTAAAGACTACGAGATCATTACCTTTTATTTCGACTCTACCTCAAGCTGTCGCTATCTTAGAGGTTCTGAGTCAATTCCCGATAGGGTCGTGTCCCGCGTCTGGTTGTTGTGGTATATCGTTGTTTCAGAGTTTCATCACACGAGCTATTGAAATTGGTACTTGAGCAATGTACTTATTTGACGTTGTCTTGTATTATTTTAGATTTTACAACCAGATGGCAAATTCGTGGATCAATTGGGCGTGGTTACAAGACATCAGCCGTCAAACACGTCCTCGATTTGGAAAAACACAGAAACAAATTGCACGGAACTGAACGCGCCTGCAGACGTAGCCGTTACAAATGACAAAGTCATCATTTTAGACAGCGGCAATAAAAGGGTTAAAATCTACAGTAAAAAAAATAGAGGCAAAATATTGGAGTTTGGCGCCATGGGTCAAATGAAAGGTCATTTCAGACAGCCAGAAGTTTTAGCAGTCGACCCTCTGGGTTTCATACTCGTAGGAGACTCTGGTAACTGTAGAGTTCAAGTGTTCAAACAAAACGGTCAACTGGTCAGAGTATTCGGGGGTTTAGGTACAGAGCCAGGAAAATTCGGATGGATATCAGGCATCCATGTTACGAAACAAATGGATATAATCATTAGTGACACGAAAAATCATTGCGTCAATTTCTTTTAACTGTCATTTTGACTAGGGGTAGCAGCACGCCAAGTCCGTTATAATGTCAAACGTTTGCTACAGATTTTGAGCTTAATCTTCAAGGCTTTAAGAGCTATGATGTTATTTTATAGACATTTCATTTCTCGAGTGCGCCAATATTGCTGACTATAGAAATTATTATAAGTTATTGCCTTATTACCCAACTTATAGGTATTACGATTTTTAATTTACCTTATAAAATTAACATTAGTCAGATACACTTTATATTGTTTAGTTTTTATTTTATAAATGTAAAGTGAATCAACTATATTAAAAAAACATAATATAATTATGATCATTCATTGTTAAACAGTTTTTGAAAAAGAATTAACATAACACCTGAAGTTAACTTAAGTTTTTAACAGAAATAGCATCTCTTTTCGAAATGCAAATACGACTCCAAAGAAAAGCACTTTTCGATAATTAATGATGAAAGGGAACTAGCAGAGGAAGGACCTGATACTGCCTCTGATGCCTTTTACCTTTAAAATCTCATCCATCTAACTATCAAACTATCTGTTTCATGGATATGATTTTAAAGATTACCTGAGCGGTTGTTTACTATAGATTAATACAACAAATTCTTTAACAATGTTTTATTATGGAAACAAATTCTAAAAATAAAAATTATTACTGTCATAGCACAATGAAATATAAATAAAATTTTACATTAAAAATAATGTATGAGTTTGATTTATTAATAAGAATACAAAAAAATATATCACAATAATGATAAAGGAAAAATAAACAATGAGATTTTTTTCGTTATTTCTACTAGAACATTATTTTTGCATTTATCTTTAATATTTATCATATCATATCTATGGACGCCACAACTACAATTTTGAATTTTTATATACTTTTTAATTGATATACAAGGTGTAATAATAACATATACAATTTTTATTGTATTGTTAATAAATGAGAAACTATTATTATTAAAAACACTTTAAATACATAACAGTTTGGTATTAAAAACAGTTCTATAAAGGTTTCGCATTTTTTAAACAACATGTGTAGAGTCGGGATTTTTTTTACACCCTGTATATCCGATATTTTAACATTCAGCATAGAATAAATTTACAGTTAAAAATATTGGTTCAAATATAGAAAATACTAAATACATGGCTTATATCAGCTTCGATTGGTGGTTTGACGTACCTACTTATAATTATATAATATTTACATTTTCGAAACTGATATATTTTTGAAGCGCGTTTATACGGCACGAATTTTGTTACACGCGCTCACTTTCAGACCACTGCCACAACAAAATAAACTTTTTGTATGTGGCATACATGCCATAATTATAAAAGCTACACTACAATAGCACTTTTATTTATTCATATTGATATTTTTTATTGAGATTCAATCCATGTGATTACAAGATTTTGACAATTTTGAACTTTATATTTTAATACTTTTTTTGCCATTTTAATTTGTCATTAATGTACGCTGGAGCGTGATATCAGCAAGTGGTGGTATGAAAAAATTGATGCGTCGTCTAAACGCGCTCTTCACTTATAAGACGATGAAAATTTACTTAGAGATAATCAAATACACTTAATTAAATTAAAGCCATAGTTGTAAGGCCAATGTAAACGAGCCTTCAATGGTGATTTTAATTTATATAAAGGGTGGGAAAATATATAGCTTACAATAACATTTGAGACTGATTGTGACGTACGTCATAGACAACTTGCATCAATATTATAACGAGCGATTCTTATATTTATATATTGTGAATTTTATGTTTCTTTGTAAGATCCACATAATTTGAGGTTGATTACAAATTTATGTGAACGGAACGTAATTTGAATCATCATTTATAGCATAGTCACGCCAAATGAATTAAAATTATTACGTTGTAAATATAAAATAAATTATAATCTCAAAACAGATATTTTTCGCTATATTTTTTTTTTTATTCATGCGATCTCCTTGTGGAATTATTTTTTGAATGAAAGCATTAACAGAAATATCACAATTTCCAAATTATATGAATATAGAATAAATAAAATAACTACAAATTTAATTATTAGAACTTTTTTCGTTAAATATCAAGTTGATGGTCAGTAATATTAATAATAGGTTACTTAAAAATACGCGCGTGTTATTTTATTTATACCATACAAAATAATACAGAGCCTATTACCATTTATTGTGAATTTATCTGTAATACTACATTTTATTCGTATTGTATATCTATCAGATTGCGAAACTGCTGTGATAGTTACTCTCAGTAATTTATTATGATGAAAATATTGCCTTTATTTTTTGTCCGAAATAAAGAGTGTTTAAGTCGAAATCGCCATAATGTAATTCTTTAGAATACATAAATGTTTTTATTTTTCATGCTCCATCGGAGGTCGCGTCACGCGCGATTTAGCACCGAATAAATAACGGAGTCGAAATTGTTAATTTCTTAAACTATGATTTACTTAACGTTATTACTATATTAATGGCATCAGGCTACAAATAAAGAAACTGTAAAAAAAAATAAAACACACATCACTTAAGATACTAGCTCTAGTTTGAGTATATACCTATATGATATTCTTTTTGTCATTTGGTTCATGTAATGCAGTTCACATTTGGGACTGCTCTACACTCGAATGTCACATAATCTTCTTATTCAATACAAGTTTATAAATTCTTCTCTAATCGAATCTTATAAGGAAGGGTACAATTGTGTATATTTTAACATACATTTTGCATATACCAAACATATTTCATTAATAAAAAAATGAATGAACTAGTTGAGAAGCAGCAAATCAGTTGTTTACATTTTATTGTGATTTCTAATTTCTACTTTTGTCCAAGTATACTAGGATTATAGAAAATTACCTAAGATGAACGACATGGCTGGCATCTACTCACTGAGTGACTTTCTCCAAGCACAACAGAATCAGACTCCGCTGGAGGTCCTTCGCTATTATCATGTTGCCTCTGAAAATCATTTTTATATAATTAAAAATAGAATATCATTATTACTTCAACACAACAGTAATACCTAAGCAGTTTAACATAAGGTTAATTAAGTTAAATAAACCTTTTATATTAATTTGGGTCACAAACATCTTAAGAACATTTTTTCATATATTTATTGTTACTAAGATTACGGCATTCATAGTTTCTAAGCTTTAAGCTAACAATTATTATTTTTATACCTTTAATACTCATTTATTTTTATACCTTAAGTATTAAGGTTGGTCCACCCTAAATTTAAATGGCAAAACAATATTTGCCTCAGCTAGTGGTGATATTAAAATAAAATATAGAAAATACAACTGAAATTGATATAAAAGTATTATAAGACTCACAAAAAGACTTTCATATCCAATTATAATGTCTCAAGATCAGTCTATTGTCATTTATTTCAGGTCAAACAAAATGAAATGTAACAAGTGTTACAAGGTTTCATTACAATGTAAAATGAAGAAAATTTACATTCTAATGAAACAATGTAAAATTTTCTTTTACATTGTAAGCAAAGTGAAAAATTAACTAAAAAATGAGTAATTGTTAGACTGCTCATTAGCAGTTTTTTCTTTTAAGTTATACTTTTTTATTTCTAATATAAGAAATAATTTAACTGTTTGAGTTTGAAATAAGTTTATGTAAGCCTTTTACTAAAATCTTTACCTCACTACTAAAAATAACAAATTCTCTTTGTATCTTGTCATAGAAAGTTAATATACTTCAAATATTTTTTATTACATACTTTATATGAAGACTTATCATAATAGTACAATTTTTCACAAAACTGGCAAAGGTCCTAAGAAGCTTCTGGGTGTAGTTGGGTTAGTAGGAATAATTACAGATAAATTTTCAAATACAAAGGACCATAGAGATATCTAAAAGGTGAAGAATTGGGGGCTCATAATAACACAACCTACACTAGGTCTACTGAAAGTAAAATCTTGGGTTCAGTATAAACTATTACCTTTAATTCAGTAGCAAGACTGCGGAATGTGTCTTCAACATTAGTGTTATCTTTTGCAGATGTCTCCATAACAAACATAATTTCAGGAACATATCGGCAGAACGACTTCGGTTCGTCTGGCTCCACTTCGCGTTGCTCTACAAGGTCACACTTGTTACCAATTAAGGCAACAATAACATTTGATGATGTATATTTTCTGACTTCTTCAATCCACTTTTGAAGGGATAAGAATGTTGATCTTTTTGTGATATCATAAACTGCAATTTATTCAACCACATAGATATAATCAGAACATGTTTCATAGTATAATATAAAATGCAATGTTATCAAATCAATAACTTTATGATACCTATTATTACACCATTAGCTGAACGATAGTAACTTTGTGTGATAGTCCTAAATCTTTCTTGGCCAGCAGTATCCCATATCTGGAGCTAGAATAAAGAGTAATATATAAGTAAAATAAATTTCAATACGAATGGAAAAACGCTCAATGAAGGGGCGTAAAAGTTCACTAATACATAAAAGAGTAATTTAATGATTCATAAGCTAGATAATTGTATTAAAAAGTAGGTAATTGTATTGATTTATTTATTAAGTATACAATTAAGATATTTAGATAAACTGAACGAACCTTGACTTTTTTACCGTCTACTATGAGTGTTTTCATTGAAAAATCTACGCCTATCGTATTCCCGTGCCTTTCTATGAAGTTTCCTGATTTCAAGCGTTGCACAATACAAGTTTTACCAGTCCCACAGTCGCCAATTAAAACTATTTTGAATAAATAATCAAATTGCTCATCTGAGACACTCATCAGGGTATTAGGATTACGGCTAGTCATTTTATTTAAATTAAAATTAAATATATGTTTACAATATAATTTGACAACAATTTGACATATTTTTTTAGGGATTCCGAAATAAGCGATTGCGATCCAATTTATCGAAATATTGTAATAATGAACTCGATTAAAAGATTTTGAATCGATGTTATTGTCAAATTGTTTTCACGATCGTTGCAAAAAGCACAGGATAGAAAATCTTTAACTATTGCTTTAAAAAAATCCACTAGCCCCGAGTACTCTCAGATGAGAGTACCTGGGACTGATGGATTTTTTAAGCATTTTTCATGAAGTATATTTTTCAGTAGAGTATTGTGAATGCAAAATTTAACAAATATATTAATTTCTTCATTATCTTAGAAAACAACCTCGTTATTTCAATGTACATATTTATCTATCTTTGCTTGTCCGATAAATCTAATCAGTGGTCATTTAATTAGATCTCTTCGTTAAATTGACTTCTATGATTTAGGCAATTTTGCAATGGTGTGTTTATTTGTTCGGTTTGACTCTGCTTGTAACGTTATCGAGCGTTGTGCAAGGACAAGGATAGGAGATGAAAGCATACAAAACAATAAATATAAAAAGGGAAAAATGATGGATGGTAAAGAAATGTTTTTTAAACTCTAGAGCCACGGTGGGTAACAATCAGCCTGCGAGCCATTTTGAAAAACCTTATTTATAATAATATTGTCGTCTCATTTCATGTCTGATATCTATCGCAAAATATTATGAGCACTACAACACTACTTTAAAATGAACTACTTTTAAACGCAGCCCGTGAACGTATTTGCACACTAAAGTTTGGCCTACAACATGTCCAAGGTTGCCCATACCTGCTCTAGAGAGTACCTGCAAAATGGTAAAGCGTTCTTGTTAGGGCCTAAAACCCAATTAATATTACTAGTGGAATATTAATATTATATGCGAATCACTGGACGTTTACAAAATCAGAATACACAAATAACAATAAATCTTAAAGTTAGTGGGACGAGGTATGAATGATACTAATAAAATGTATAAACTATTTTTAGAGCAGTCGAAAAAGAAATGGTCTGTTATACCCTCGTCGAATCCACATTCGCATAGGGAATTTCATCCTGACTTTGGCTAAAAATACAGGAGTGCATAAATGTACCTGCATGACTTAATCTTAAGTCTGGCTAAAGTAGAAATCACATTTTATTATCACAAAAGGCACGAAAATCCGATTTGTCAAGGTGTCCCCCTTACGTATACTTAAGTATTACGTATATGTTGCGGAGACGTGGACATTGAAAGAGAGTGAGAAAAAGAGATAGACACATAGGATATGTGGTGCTGGAGTAGAATGTTGGGAATGTCTTTAACGAAGTTCAGGACCAACCAGTATATCCTTCAGGAACTCAACATCAAACAGCGTCTATCTTCATATTTGCATAACATAGGCTCGGGTTTTCACTTTCTTTACAAATGTTTTGTGACGGGCATGAGATCACGCGGAAGATCACCGATGTAATACAAAGACCAAGTGAAGTCTACTTTTAATAATTATTCTGTAAGCAAGTGTATGTACAAGGAAAGTAGCCGTCCGAGCGAGCACGTTATGAACCCTTAACAGACAACTATGACTACTCTACCAAGAACGTTTAATGTCTAAGAAGATAGTTGAAATCACTTGTTTTTTATGGATTTTGGGTGAACCATGGAGTACACGGAATATCCGATTGAATGTTAGGATAATGTATACTTTTTATAAGGAAGTCTTTTCCGATTTTTAGCTCATTCAGAAAACAAGTTCTTTTTTGCCATAGTGCCTAGATCGTTTAGGTACACGCGCCACTGAAAGGGACAACCTGTTTGACGGATCCGTCGGATGCATCCGATGCATTTTTACTCGGCTTATCATTATCAAATAGGGATGCCCGATCTTTTGATTTAATTGTATTGGATTAGATGGAGGTCAAGATTTGGATCTTTAATGATTTACAATCTGAATAGCGTTACCTTGAATCGATCTCATACATACATAGTATAAATAAAATACACATTAAAAGAATTTTGATAAATTATTTATTTAAGTAATCGAGAAAAAAAATGCAGGATAGATTAATAAATTACAGTAGCGAAGTGACATCTAGTGGAAGGAGAAATAACTCGATGTGCCGAGTTATTTCAATAACTCGAGTGCATAAAGACTTGTGATTTTTTTTCACTCTAGCTCGAGTTTGGAAAATTCAATTGTGCGAGAAAAATTTTGAACGAAATCACTTGAGCGAATCGAGCAAAAACATGACTCGACTCGACTCGCAACTCTAGTCTGTCAATGTCAGATAATCTTTGCTATTGACTGAACTGACATTGACAGACTAATTGTAATCTTTGAAAGATTACAATTATTCAATCAATATCATTGATAAGCGATGTTGATTAATCTAAAAACAAATGGTGATTAATTTTAATAAACCGAAACGAAATATTGATTTGAATTCGCTTTATTATTATTACATTTTTAGTAACAATGATGTGCCAGTTATATATTATTTGTATTCTTATAACAGTGTTTGTAATACCGTTCAATTTCGGAATAGAGGTATATCTGCTTTGATAGATATAGTTTATAATTTTATAAAATGTCACTCATGTATTATTCATTTTGTAGATACCAGAAAAGTTCCAAAAGTCGAATCATACAAATAATTGGGCAGTTTTAGTTGATACATCAAGATTTTGGTTCAATTATCGTCATGTAGCTAACGTCTTATCAATATATAGGAGCGTGAAATTGTTTGGCATTCCTGACAGCCAGATAATTCTCATGATATCCGACGACATGGCGTGTAATCCAAGAAACCCGAGACCAGCCACAATATTTAATAATGCTCATGAACAAATAAATGTGTATGGAGATGATGTTGAAGTGGATTATAGGGGTTATGAAGTAAGCAATTTTGTTTATTTCATTCTTATTTTATTTAATAGTTATGCTGTTATAGTTATATATTTTACAAAGGGAGTATGGTATTGATAAAATAAAAGTGTAAATTTGAGACCCAATATTTGCAGTGCACTGCTCCTACCTTGCCAGCCCAGGCTGCCGGCCGTCTAAGGTTTGGGAAAATTTTAAATAATAAAAAATACTTTACTCTATATCAGTATCATATCAAAATACTACCTCGAGATATCAAGTACTTTTTATTCCATTTATAAAAAACCCAAATTGAGTGTTTGTGTCGCTAACTTTAATTAATAAATTGGTACATTAATTAACCTTAAAATGTTTTTATTTTCTATGATGGTTACATTGCAATAGAAATTATATGTTACAATAGAAGAAAACAAAACAGTATATATTTAGAGATCATCCTTAAAAATAGCTTGCTTTGGTGTCAGTGATGTCTAATGTAGATCTAACTAGTACAACCAATCCTATCTCAAATAGTATAATGAGAAACCTTCCAACATTTATATATGGATTAATACTTTAAACATCTTTAAAACAAACTTTAAACATCCAGCAAAATATTGATGTGTCTATTTGTCATTATGTCAGTTTATCATTATAATCATTCATTTACATGAAAATATATGAAATTGTACTGATTTCATATATTTTCATGTAAATGAATGATTATAATGATATAAACACATACAATCATAAAATGCAGACTCATGTTCTCATATGTCAAATTATTGATTGTGAAATTCACCATGAATTGGTCTCATTTTTAAACCCACACAATAAGTCATCCAAATATTTCCTGACAGCTGAAATTGAGCATCTCTGACGTTCATGGTTGTTTGTATCAATGTTGTTGGTGTCCACGGTCACCAGATTGCTTGCATCGTCAATTCGCGCGAATGAGCCCAGGCCACCAAGTTTTTGCCATACCGCGAATATGTGATGGTCATATTGCTTCTCGCGTGATTTTTAAAAATATTGTTTGATTTGTTTTAAATGTTGATATATTAAATGTATGGTTCCAAATAGATTGAGGTGTCTATACATAATGTTAACTGTTAAGTATGTAAAGCTTTTGATATATTATAATTCAACAGCTTAAATTAATCTAATGAATTCCAGGTATCAGTAGAAAATTTTATTCGTTTACTTACTGGGCGAGTCCCGCCTGATACTCCCCGGTCAAAGCAGTTACTGACTGATGAAGGTAGCAACATTTTGATTTACCTCACTGGGCATGGTGGTGATGGGTTTTTAAAGTTTCAAGACTCTGAAGAAGTAACCAGTCAAGAGTTGGCAGATGCATTAGAACAAATGTGGCAAAAGAGAAGGTATCTTCAACTTCCTTTGCAATAAGTTACTTTTAAAGGCTATATTTAGTCTTAATTTGTTGATATTTCAATTCAAAGATGATTGCAGAAACTTTTTATTTTGTGGTAACTTGATATGCCGCTATCTGCATATTTAAAACCATCTTTGAATTAAGTTAGCTTGTATTTCCTTTAATATTTTTATTAAATGTTTTGCATCATGGTTGATTGATTCCATGGTCATTATTCCTCCTTTTAATTCTTCCTTAACCATCTATGAGGAAGGCCTGAGCCCCTTGGTTAATGGTCTTTTGTGATTTTTATGACATAATTAAGTAATATTTAAATGATATAATTAAGTAATAGAAAAGTTTTAGTGTTGAACTACAGCTGTACAGACAATACAGTACTGCCCTTTTATGTCGCTCACAACCACCATTTGCTAGAGTGGGGAAGGTAGTAGATGTGCGATAGCATACCTTAAAATTCTAGAAGCTATAAGCATCACGCTATATTTCTTTCTCTAGCAATTGGCGGTTTCGAGTGACAAAAGGACAATCGAAAAGGACATCTCCTTTGAAATTTTCGTAGGTACTGCCTGTTTTCCCGCGACATCGATCGCATACATTACAACCTATGTCATTTGCGTATGATGTATCTTCACGTGGATGAAAGAAAATCATGATCAGATCAGTATCCCATAAACTACCCCCTACAAACTAACGAAGACTGTTAGAAATTTTTATCTCTCATATTAGAATAGATAGTTTTCACTTATTATTACAATCGAAATCTTGATTATTGTATTTTTCTTTTCAGATACAATGAGATATTCTTTATTATTGACACATGTCAAGCATCTTCCATGTATGAAAAATTCTATTCTCCCAACATTCTAGCAACGGCTAGTAGCTTGGTAGGAGAGGACTCTCTTTCAGTATGTTTTAACAGTTTTCTATAATAATATTTATTTAAATATATTGTGTAGATCGTTTGTGAAAATGTTTTTTTTGTTCTTTTTAGCATCATGTGGATTCAGCCATTGGTGTTTATATTATAGATCGTTACACTTATTACGTTTTGGAATTCTTGGAACATGCGTTTAGTAGCAGTGAAAAAACTATGACTGAATTTGTAAGTATACTATTATAATTACACGTAGGCTTATTTGCTCTTCAGAAGTCGCGGGAGAAGAAACTAGTATTATATAAGAATTAATTAAATTACCTTTACTATAATATTATGAAGAAGAAAGATTTTTATTGTTAGATTGCTTGCATTAAATATGCTTTTAAACTAGTGGACTGAATTTTTTTTTTCCCTGAAGAAAAGCTACATCATATTATACTTTTACTCAATTATTTTTCATTTGTATATTTTTTTTTTTTGTAATGTGAATGCAAGATTAAGGATATAGTAAACTTTTTAATTTTTTATAGTTGGCAGTATGCCCAAAGAGTGCTTGCCTGTCAACTGTAGGTGTACGCAGCGATCTATTCAAGAGGGATCCCAGTAAAGTGCCGATAACAGATTTCTTTGGTTCAGTACGGCCTGTTACTATAACCACTGATCCTATTGATATACTAGACATCCCAAAGAGGAAGAAGACTGAGAAACAGTAAGTCCTTTATAGTATCAAGAAAATTATTCTTGTGACAAAAACGGTTATAACTAGAGATGCGCCGAATTTTGGTTTCATCTAATACTATTCGGCTTAACCTTCACTGAACAGGATATTTGACCGAATTATTCGGTTTACCATTTCATTGTTTTGTCGCGTAAATAGACTCAAAAATAAGGTTTAATTGAAGTTTCATTGTTGAGCACATTCTTCGTTGGGTTGCTTTGCTTTATAATGTAACATAACAACTTATTAGACATAATAAGTTTTGTCTTTTAGTTCTATACCGAGTTGTGTAGCCAAGAAAACAGAAATACTCGAATCGAATATATTCGGCACCAAATCGAATAATTCGGCCGAATACAAATAGTGAAAAAGATGCCGAATGCATAGAATATTTGACGCATCACTGGTTATAACAATAATAAATATTGATATAGATGTATGTAGCGGAAGTAAAAGATTGTGTGAAGGATGAATTGGTTAAGTAAGGGAGGTGACTATTGAAATATTGCTGAATGAGAAATATGAAAGAGAAAGACATATTGTGTAGTGTAAGTAAAATTTGCAGCATACAATTTTTTACTAATTATAATTAACCGTTTTGTAACTTTGGCGATGATTTTGTATTATCTTCTCTATTATGGGGAGAATACTAGGATCCATGTGGGCAGTATATAGTATATAATTGAGGTCTGGAGAGAAATACCGGATTTTCTGGATTTATTAGAATTAGACTTAAATATAAATAAAGTCCTAATTATAAGGGGTAGAATTAAGTCAAGACATTGGGAGGAAACAATATTCTGTGTACATTTTAAAGAATAATGACACATCCGGGTTAGATGGCATAAGAGAACACTACTGTAATTGTCTTATTGGTCGATGTACACTGGGATGCTGTGCTCAATAATGACCATAGTTTGGTATCTTGGATGGGCCAGACACGAACAGAATGTAGCTGCTCCTCCAGCATTTCGTGATGAGGTATTCATTAGAGTTGTAATAAAGAAAATAAAAATCAACATGTTGTTTTGCTATATTCTTTTGAATTTAGTATTTTCACTACTACTTTATATAAGTTATAGTGTAAGATAGAAAAGTAGTTATTGAGAGCAATCTTAAAAAATCTATTATTTATTTGATGTTCGTTGGTTCACAAAAAATGATTTTATTTCTTACAGTCATTAAAAATAATTTATCGGCGATGGAGCAAGTTTGAAGTGTTATGTGAAAGTACGCACTTCTAGGACTACGATGAGGCAGTATCTGACGTGTGCTTTGCGTAGTTCAACTGTAATACCTCAAACTCAAAACTGCTGACAGTTTAAATAATACGAGCCTCATCTCAAAAACATCCTACACACTTACTCGATACTCCCAGCTTTTAGAAATATACCTAATGCTACTTTCTTTGTTCTAGTTGCATAGGCAAGCAGAATACTGTTTCATCAAGTTACGTTTTATTCGATTTTACTAGTCCAAGCATGTTAGGCAGATGGCCATTGTTCTTTGCAGTGTACAATTTTTTATTAATTATAATAAAATTCCGTAAATCAATTGCAATATAATAATTATATTTTCCTAATATTTGATGCTAAATGAGTGTGAGATTACAAATGGAGGGTAGTACAAAAAAACATTAAATGATTATAACACTTTCCTAATGATGTCTTATTTGTTAATCCTCGACTTTACCCTAAACCAGAAAAAGGTTCCTATAATTGAGACTTAATTAGGCGTTTTTGTGTGATTTCAAATTTATCTTATCAGTAGGACAAGTCTCTGTTTAAGTAGGTACTTTAGAATTTGACATTGGCAACATATTCGATAGTAAAACCGGTGTTATTTTTTTTTTCAGAAACAAAACGAATGTATTAGAGAAGCGAAAGTACTTACCGCAGTTCCCAGTGCATCTAGTCCAAGGTAGTGCATAAAAGAGTCAGTGATGTGTTTAGGAGGTAACCAATAAATAATTTATATAAAATTTAAATTTTATTTGTTTTAATAAACTGTTATTTACATCACGTATGATACCCCACCTTGTTATGAGTTTATTTCAATAACACTTAAGACATAAGTTCATAAATGAAACGGTCAGGATTCTAACCTGAAACGAACATCGATTGGCAGTCAATTAACCCGCAGACTGACTCTTGAACGCAATCTGCAATTTCAATCCAACCCATTGACGATCCCAAATTTCATAAAATCTTAGTTCATACTCTTGAAACATACGCTCAATACTTACTCAATGTCAATTAGTTCATTAAACAACCACGCAATATTGCGCCAATCGGCGGTAGTGTACCGAAGTACGAAACGTCACAATTGCTTCGATTGCGTTCAAGTATCACATACCATTGAAGTAACTGGAAAACCCAAAGTAGGGGTTCTATTTTCCTTTGAATGAGGAAGTATTTAAAAAAAAACATTAGTTTCCGAAATCAAGCTAGATGTCGCTACAGTACGTTCTTGATATTTCTCCATGACAACCCTTCCGGTTTTCTTTCATGTTTAAAAGTAAATTAGTTTTCAAAACTCAATAAACAACTCATATTCTATTTGTACCTTTTTGTATTTGTATTGATAACTAAGTTTCGAACTTTTCAAATCTCAGTTTTTTAATATGTTAGTTTAAAAGGAACGGAAATGACTGTCTTTGGTCCATTCGTTTTCTGCAAAAATCAACTTTTGTTAGAGTCGCCATCTAGTGGAGGTACTTTTTGAGTGCTTTCGTTTTTTTTTAAATACATCCTCATTGCTTCGATTGCGTTTGCGATTGCGATTGTCTTCAAGAGTAAGCATGCTGGTCCACATACCATTGAAATAACTGGAAAACCCAAAGTAGGGATTCTTTTTTCCTTTGAATTGTCTCGGATTTCATAACATATGACGGGTTATACTAACTATACATTTTCTGTACTCGTGTAGAATGAAGAAACCGAGTTCAAAATGAACCGCGGTAATTTGAATTGTAATAGCCTGGTTGAGTGATATGTGTGTGCCTAGTGCAAAAAGTAGAATGAGAAATGGTTATAAAACCAAATAACAATATAAACAATGAGCTAATAAGGTCGACTTTACAACGTAAAATTAGAATACGAACGCCATCCGTTGCCTTTGATATATCCATTTCCAACACTTCGAATACAAGTTACACTGAAATAAAACAACTATGACTAATATTAAATAATTTATTTTATTTTCTTCTATAAGTACTAAGAATAATCTTTACATTACATAACATTATTAAACACAACCAATTCAGTTACCGTTGGAATTTAAATGAATAATAATTATGTAATTCATCGCAACAAATCACCTCCACATCTCACATGTGATATGAGATCAAAATCTAATGTTAGCACCATTACAGTTACAATCATAGGCCATGTCTTTTTGGTCTAGTCATTCCGTACTTAATATAACGTTCGTACAATTTAATTTGCAACTTATGAATGTACTTACAATTTTTAGCAGTTAATCCTAAAGAGCGATAGAAAATTTTAAGAAGCGATTTTTATAATAAAGATACATTTATTTTTAAAATGAACTAAACTCCAAGTTATTTTTGAATTGATACAGATAGCATGTCAAGTTACTGCAAAAGGCAAAATTTCCATTATCGGTTTCAAGTTATTTATTATAAGCTAATTTCAAAATTTATTGCTGAAAATTGACCTTTTGTATTTGTTTGATATGCTGCATGCGTGTACATTAAAATAAATATGAAAAATTAAACTGGTTACACAATTCCCATATTGGAATTCCGAAACCAAATTTATAGTTTCTTGGGTTGAATACGGCAAGCATATACACCAATTAAAGTTGTTTCAAATATGTGTGCATTACATTGCACTTCTTAAAAACCATCCTGTCATTGGAAAATAAACTATATTTTTGAAGGAGGTAGGTAATCAAAATTTGTCTGATTAGGGACTCGATTAGGGAGTACGTGAAATAGTATGCAAAAAATTCGAGTTCTATAAATACATCATTAAGGTTCATTATTGTACAATATTATTATTAATTCTATAACCTTCTTTTATTAGGGACGTACATTTCAAATCTACTTAGTTTGCATAATAATTAGTGAATAGTAAAATAACGGTATTTTTTGTAATCATTTCCTATTGGGGTTTTATAAATAAATGTATGGGTTAGTTATATTGATGGGCTCGAGCTTTAGTGAGGTTATAAGAATTAAATGATTTCATATAGAAAATTACATTAAAATAAACGTTAATATTAACATGGACTAAAAAAATATAAACAGATAGTAAATATTATAATAAGATTCATTGATAAAATATCAATTTGTTTTATTTTTGAATCCCCCGTTTCTATTGGATAATGCATTAATATATTAAACGTAAAGTTTTACAGTTGAGAACATCACTTACTTTTTTTAACAACATCAACTTAATATTTTTTATAAATAACACAAATTTTGTACTCTATGTATTCCTAATATATTTTCACTAAGCTCTGAGTAGCGTTACGACTAGGTCAGATTACTAATAATATCTAAGTAACAATTATTATATTTACACTCTACACAACAATGACATAAGAACATTTGTGATACTTATATATTTTTGATATTATTCATTATTATAAATTTTAATGTCATTAAAGAATTTACGGTGGAATGGACAATTGGACATCACCTAAGACTTATTTTTAGTACTTATTAGACAAGTTATACGATATAAAAAAACATTACACTTCACATAAGGTATTAATAGGTAATATTGTGCAAAGATCGGCGTACATGTCAGCATAAGCACATGTATTAAATTAACAAACTTAGAACATTTTGTGTTTTGGAATTAAACGATTCCCTTCTTTCTTACATCCAAATATACAGCAATTATGTGTTATTGGATAAAATACACTCTAATTATCAATTCATAAAATATTAAATGCCTGCTATGATCATTATTACTTTAGTTTTTGCTCACTATTCTATGAATGGAGTTTAATGTGTGTCAAAAACTGTACTTAAGTATGTGTTAGTGCTGCAATCTGGCGACAAAAAGTTGCTGTTATCAACACCTCGTTGGTTGCCGCTTCGTTTCGCAAGGGTTGTAATAGATAAAGTGAAGCAACAGTCATATCTAGTCCGTCCTTTCCCATGTCACGTATCGTACATAATCACGACTCGCGGAACAGAGCTAGTCAGTTCCATACTAAACATATGAAATCAATCAACGCGGTGACATTAAAATATGACTCTCGTAATAACAGACACTTGTGAAAAGTATGCCGACAGTAAAATATGGAAAAATCACAGCATCAAAAATTGGTGGGTGGTTATCTAAAAACAGCTTTTAATTTCCGTTATCAAATTAGAAAGAGTTTAATGATATATTTGCAGATAAGCGGGATTATCGTATTATTAGTTATTTTAATTAATACAAGGTTTATATTTATAATTTTAATATTTATATTTAATAATTATTATAACGTTGAACATTTTACGATAGCATATTTGTGTTTTGTATTTTTCATTCACTGTTTATTAGATTTTACTGCATCCGTGTCTACATCTGTTCCTAGGGCAGCCATAAGCATATTTAGCTCTCGTCGCGTGTCGCCATTGGTGGATTGGTAATCGATTTTATAAATTGGATTGAAATACGGAACGTGGCTAATGTAATCACTCCCATATGAAATATGTCCGTGTTTGCGGGATAAACATAATTGTGTAATCTGTTAACGGAATACAATAGCAATTATCGAAGCGGAATAACTGTATACGGCTTGTGGCCGTGTCTCGCACCCTTATTGGCGTTTTCGTTGGATCACATCAAAAACTTATATTAAAGTTTCCATATAAAAATGAAAAAGCCTTAAATCTAAATAAATAATTAAAATAAATAGATCTATTTACATCCACAAATTCCTTAGTCTTTTAGAAAGTTGATATAGAAAACATTTATTTTTATATGTATGGTAACAAACAAAACTTAACATAGGTATCACTAGATACATCTTTGAAGTTTGAAGTAAAAAATTGATGATGTCCAAAGAAATACAAGTATACAATTGGACAATTTTAACTCGATCAAAGTCCAACGGCTTTATATTATATGATTATTAAGCATTATAATTTATTCTTATAACCATTGTGTATATTGTATTCTTGAGGTACAGTCGATAACACATCATGTTACAGTCTACAAGGAATTCTTCATTTTTCCCAAAGATTTCTTAGTAGGTTCAAATAGACTGCAGAATTTTGTACTAATCTGACGTGATACTGTGGTTACCTAGCAAGCACATGGATTTTGTCTAATAATTTATTTATCTAGAACATAATTAAACATGTTGATTATTTAAGAAAATAAGTATAGGCTTCATCCACATTACACGATTCATCTTCGATCCGCGATTGAATGCATAACTTCGCAACTTGAATCGCGCGAAATATCGTTCACCAAACACTCAAGTCGTGCCGCACGCGATAGGAGCTCGTTGGATTGTTTGGTCGTTCCAATTATTGGTTATTAAGTAGTTCTCTTTTCAATGCTTAACTAGGCCCATCGGTCTGTATAATTTTCTGATAAGTAATTAATTTTTCATAGATATAGAGAAAGTCAGCCAGGCTTTCGGCTATCGGCGGTCCCTCGTTTACAAAAAGTGAGCAGATCGTTGTAGGCGCTCTATCTTTCTTTAGTCGTACATTTTCGCGCGCGTCTATAATCGCTTGGTATAGCTTCGTTATTGTGCATGCTTCAGTAGAAAGAGACCGAGGGGTTCCACGATTTTGTCTTTCTTAACTAGAGACGTTTCCGGTTACAGCCAGTCGTCTCTTTTCTTCCATTTCTCCATTAGAAAACGAAATATTAACATAATGATTGAAATACTTCTTCGATTAAGAAATTACGCGTTTAATAAACTAGTAAATAATCTAGTGATTTTTTAAAAGGGTTTTTGTACAACAAGTATCTACATACTAAGATATTTAATTAATGCTTTTCGCTAATTGTAGATTTTAAATTATTAAATGTTTCAGCTGATTTAGCATTTCGAGAACCTAATTAATTAATGTTTACGAAGGATATAGAATTTGTCACTATTTGGACGATAATAAAACAAGTCATAATAATGAAATCGAAATTTTTACATTCTCCAAAAGAGGCTTTCGAACCTGCGGAGCGATTCTGTAAATATTCCGAACGGCGCAAATTTATAAAAGTCTAATTCTAGTTTCTTTAATGTAAACATTAAGGTTTCCAATGCCGTAAACGTTTACAAAATGACTTATAGGTAGCCGCAATCGACAAATAATAAAGTACCAGTTAGTTGTGTCAATAAAATCAGCAGTCGCAATAAGTTGATAATAAGTAAACTTGATTTAGAATTGTAACAAGCGTTATTTAGTTGTTGCGAACGTAGGTATACTATCACTCGCATACAACGTTCGCTAAGCGACGAGTGGTTCATACCATTCGTTGCAGTCGAGCGATTTAGAAATGGCGAATTTGTTAAGTCGAACGAAAATCAGTAGAAAACGAGCGCTCGACGCGAGACGAATGATTCAAAAATAGAGCCCCTGTGCTGCGACTGAGAATTGACGATAGCGTTTGTAAAGTTGATAGTTGCGTCAACTAAAGTTGCTACGTGTGTAATGTGCCTATTCATTAAATTGACGTTTCTAATATTGTTATAATACGACCGATCATTTCATGATGTAATTAATCAGGTAGGTATAGAACTTTGAATACACAGTATAGTAATACAAGAACAACTATTTATACTTAACGTTACATCAACTTTGACTCTTATTATTCAATGACATATATTTTCTGACTCTCTATTATAGTGCTATCTTTTTTAATACCACATTTACTTGTTACTATTTCCATATTGTACGTGTTATGGAAGCACTAGGGAATTTTCGTTTGAATTATATATTAGTCTACCAAAGACTTCTATGATACCATCGTTTAATCGACTTACCACTTAGCAAGCGACACTACAGCGTGCCTATGCCAACTCGTGCTGTCACAGTTTTAGTGTTCAGTAGGTACCTACAGCTTGTAATAGTACACATAGAAGTCTTAGATAATTACATATACTCGTTAGCAAACATATTAAAACTAATTAGAGTAAAATATGTTTAACACACATTTATAAAAGTTAAGAAATAAAATAAATTTCATACGGTAAATATGCTAATCTATTTGCAATTTTCTATATAAAATTTTGTTGTTGTTTGGTTTTAACTTATATTCTGCATATGGTGATATTCACACAACATTCTGCATTGCAAAATATACAAATAAATACCCAGGAATGAACTATCAGTCAATATAATTAAAAATATTTTAACTAAAATATAAATAAGAAATCGACTGTATCTGATACTCGAGTTTCTAAAAAGGTTGAGCTTTTTTAAAGTATGTTTATGATATTAGTATCATTTATTAAAAATGCTTTTTTAATAACAAAAAGAAATTATCATTATAATACGACCATTAACGAAAACAATAACAAAAGAAAACTATCATATTCTGCTAAATTATTTTAAAAATCTAAGTTATATAGTTATAAATACATTTTCTTTTAATATATATTTTTAATGATTCAAACGTGGCGTTTCAATCGATATATCAATATCAATAATGGTTTTTTTCACGATGGTAATAACACGGACATTGTATCAGAAAAATGTACGCAACAACAACCGAAATCCCGAATTGACGTTAGGGTTAATTCATTATATTTCAATGGGAACACAGAAACCGATCAATCATCGGCAACGATCAGTCTTCACTGATGAATTTTTCCCCTCGTTCATCAACCTTCGATGTCTATTCTCTAGGCGAACAAAGAGGCGCATTATGGGGTGATATTCTCTTTCTATATAGATTTAAATAAGTTAGCTCGTAGTTTATCTGTGGTCGCTAGTCTCGTCAGGTTTCACTATCTCGTAGTAGTTCTCTATTGTGTAATTGAAGAGCTTGAAATCATATCTGTAACAATGAGATAAGTGATTTATCTGTTAATAAAAAAAATATAATACACTCTAGTCCCCTGTGTCCTATCCTACTGTAATGCCCCAAGCGCCAGGTTATCTGGGATTGATTACAGTCCAACATTGACAGGATCCTCAAAGACGAAATAATTCGAAGCTTTTTAACCGATTGCAAGGGAAGGTTTATGTTTTTCGTGTGTATCTTATATGTATACATATGTATGTCATATTCTTTATTACCTCAAGTCTCCAGAAGCGCTGAACGGATTTACATAGTTGAGATATAACGTTAGATTTGTCTTAGCAGCCTAACACCCATTTTCACTAACCTAAAACAAGGCGTAGCTTAACTAGGAAACGCCTAATATTAAGATTCGCCTAAGTGGATTAGTTTATTTCCAAATAAATATATTTTTCTTTTATCTCTTGACATATATATGACCTGTAATACGCAAACGCCTGGCGCAAGGTGTCGCATAACGAATATCGTAACTTTAGACATTGCTTAATTTCGTTAGGTGATTCTTAGTCAATGGTGAAATGCATTTTTACCTTGGGCGAATCCTAAATATTTAGGCGACAGATTGGCAAATGTTCTTAGATAGATGGCATAAAAAAATCAAACATTTTACTTTCAATTACTACAATATGGTATCAAATTAAAGGACTCAATGCAAGGATTTAAAAAAATATATCATGAGTGTCATTACCGTAATATTATTAAAAATAATCCCTACAATGAGAAAGTTTAAAAATATGGACTTTGCTCTTCTCTTTCTGAACCAACCTGGTAATTTGTCTAACTAAAAATATATACCTAAACAAAATGATAATAACATAAAAATATGAAAAACAACTGAAAAGGCGGGAACAAAATAAATAATTTATTCAACATCATACATAACATGCAATCAGAGGCATGAAATTGAATGATAAGTCAAATCATTCTTTCTTTATGCATGCATGTTATTCAGTTGTGTTTTAGTACATTTGCGGTCAAAAAAGGTTGGGCCTTGGCCCATATGTCGACTGTACCTTAGTCCTTAAAAGTAGTCATATCCAACTTACTCGTAAAGCCGATAAAGCCCGTCAAGTTGTGATTTAGTGATTCTTGAGTAGAGATGACTTATTTCGTGTAGCGTATTCGTTTTGCCGACGTTCCTCCATTCTGGCTTCACAACGTTCTGAAGACGAGCCAGTTGTATCAGGAACCTCTGATCTTCCTGTAAAATTAATAATGCGATTTTGTAAATCATGTTAATTAGTGAATCAACAAAACATTGAACATGCCGGGGCAGATAATATTCTTCTATACAGTGTTTATTGACATATATGTAAAGTAACGCGACCGCACAGACGTCAACATACCTAATCGGACTATGCTTGAGTAGTGTTCGCGGAAAGAATAAAAAGAAACGGCAAAGGCAGTATCTTGTCGGTGTTTATTCTGGCAAACCTCTGGCGGGTTTCGATATAAATAAACAGTGTCTGATGCGATCAATTTCTGCAGATATAAACTCACCTTTAGGTTACTTAATTAACTAAAATATCATTCAAAATTAATTTAATAAACAAATTATTCTATGTGCCTGCACGTGCGCACGCTATATCCCAAAGAGAATTAACATTATTGTGACACTATGTCAAAAATGGGTTAATTAATTAAAGTCTAATGAATTTTAATGAACTACCCACTACCAAACGAGTGATACTTTTTCTTTAATAAGCATTAATAATTACATTCACACTCCCTTGCTGCAGTTACGTCACGCAATAAGCTCATCGCTTTTCATATATGAGTAAAAGTTTTGAACAAAATGTAAATACATATATTTGTTTAAAATATTTCAATACTGTTATTAATTCGGTCACTAATTCATATTCGTATCAAAGGACCAAGTAACTTAAATTATTTTAAAAAGAAAGACATTATCTACACCCGAGCCGAAGAAGATAAATTTTACATATCGCATATCTGACGATTCTACACAAACTGGTACACATATAAACGAGGGTATATACTTAGGTTTCATATAAAGAACTCTACGAGATTATGAAGAGTAATCTTAATACAAATTTCAAAAGGTCTGTTTCCGTCTGATAGTAAGCATTTTCCGCGCGGTTTTTGAGAAAGTTTCCCAACAATGAAGCTGCAATCGCGAAATGCAGTAGAAACTAACGTAAAATTGTTTTGCATATGAGCAGAACTGCTGCCAGAAGTGAATTTAAATGTATGTGGAATTTGAAGCGCTAACTTTGTGAATGACTATATTATGTATATATATTCACAATTAATCGATTTTGCATTCACAATGCTATACTGAAAATTTATCTTAATGAAAAATGCTCAAAACATCCACTTTGTCCCTTTTTTTTATCTTTTTTCTCCTTCCCTCTGTATGGGGAGGAGGATCCGGGATCCAGCAAGGAGTCCGCCGGATCCAATCCATTTTGTCTCTGGGACAACATGTATTTTTCATTAAGATTAATACTCAATCATCTATTAAATCATAATATTTGTTGAACAAAATGCGGTTATTATCCCTTAAACCGGTCCTTTAATATATGTTTCATACATCCTATCGACTTCAAAAAATATTTCAACGTTTTTCTTAAAAGAATCATGTAAGTAAAATTTATTTGAGACTAGCACTTGTGGCAACGAAGTTTCATACAAACTATCAACTCAAAAAACATTAGGAGTCGAATTTCACAAAATCTCGCCGTATCTTTCACGTATATTAAAAGAACCCTTATAAAAAATTATTTCGTAATGAGTGAGTGACTTTTCATATTTATACGTGTATAGGTAGTGTGATTTCGTTGGAGAATCAAAAGAATGAAAAACCTTATAATCCACAAAAAATGTATTGTACCATGAAAAACCATTGAGAAAAGACAAAAACAAAGCAATACAAAAGTCTATCAACTACTTGACATAGAACATCACCTTAAAGTAAAGACAAAATGTATTTAGTAGAAAACCTCTCTCGACATCCTCCCACTAGAGAAGATGCTCTCACCATCATTAACTGCCTCATTAATAAATAACTTCCAATGGATATAATCTTTAAATCGGTCTAACTAAAATGCCTCTTTTAGTACGTACTTTAGCAAGTCGTATTTTGCCATCCCTACCGTGTATCAGCTCCATTATAACTGCTAGAGGCCACTGAATACGCTTATCTGTATCGTTGCCTACAAGTACAACTTCTCCAATTTTAGGTTCTGTTTTAGAGAACAACTTATTTTTTCGACGTGATAAAAACCCCAAATACTCGACCCTAAATTTCCTAATTAAATCTGAACGAATCTTTTTCAAATGTCGATACTGTTTCCCTAAATCTTTAGCACAAGATTCTATATCGTCAGATAGCAATATTGTACCAGTGTCACCTTCAGAAGACTCGATTAAAAACATAGATGGTGTCAAAGGCCTTGGTTCATTCGGATCATCATTCACATACGTTATAGGCCGAGAATTGACTATAGATTCGCATTCACACAACACAGTCATTAATTGAATGTAATCCAATCTGGCTGTACCTAAAGTTTTCTTTAGTACACTCTTGACCACTCCGACCAATCTTTCGAAAAATCCTCCCCACCATGCAGCACTAGGAGGGTTAAATTGACAAAAACAAAGCAATACAAAAGTCTATCAACTACTTGACATAGAACATCACCTTAAAGTAAAGACAAAATGTATTTAGTAGAAAACCTCTCTCGACAGGTAGATTCTAAACTTCGTCTCTCTCGCTTCGTTCGGTATATGAATGTAGCAAAAAAAGCACTTACGTCCAAAGTTTCGAACTTCAATATGACATCGAAATTGAACTTGCAAGGTGTACAGAATCCAGTGTACGGTGTCCAGTGCATGTCTAGAGTCCTCTTTGCCTTCCACTCGTCCAACAGGTAACTCACGAACTCTTCAAACAGAGGGTACGATTCGGTCGGACCTTTTTGATCCGCTGGTACCTGGTAAAGGAAAAATTTAATTGCTATCATTAAAAATCTTCATTACAACAGCTGTAAACGTTACAACAGCACTTGTGATTTTTTTCATCGTTACTTTAAATTGTTTCTGTGAACATGATCTTGTACGCTCTATGTAAGGCACCCAATAGGAATGATGCTAGGATAAAAAAAGAAATTCCATTTACTCCGTCAGTCAGATAACAGAAAAATATTTGATACAGATTTAAAAAAAAAAGCTTGGATAATAGCAAGCCCCCACTCCATAACTTTAATAGGCATTAAAGTAACGGAGTGGGTCACTCGCTCGCTACGTCACAACTAAGTTTATAGAAAATGTACAAAGGCATGCGAGATTTCCGTAATATATTAACAATGTAAACATTTTAAATTACCTCATTCATATTTTACAACTGCTTGTACCATGGTGTATTATATGATATGGACCAAATGATAAATTAGGGTTAAATAATTAATTATTACTATAGTTTCCCTCTGATATTGGGCATTTTTTAAACTGTGCGGGCATTATTTATAAGCCCCGATTAATCACTTTGCCCATGAAACAATATTCTTTGCCATAGGATTCTAACAAAACTACCCATGTATTTTATTTGTCAACAAAGCTGTTGACAAATTAAATCGACTTAAGTGTTCTGCTTTCCAAATGATCAAGATTAACAATATCAATAAGCTCTTTTTTTTATATTCCATAATCAAGAAAAAACATTAACTACCGATATTTTTACTTTCTTTTGATATGTTATTTTATTATAATTTTATACGGAACACCTACGCATTAAATGACTTTATTTAATTTCTTTTATAAATCTAGGAGCAAGGAAGTGCCTCCGCCAAGTTGATCAAAAATGTAAAAAGGGTATAACCTTATACGAGACACTTCAGCAATATTATCAACAATTCCATAATATAAATAGACATCGATTTTACCGATAATTCAAAACATTAACCTGCCGAAAGTTAGGTTCCAGTTTGGACAGACTGGAATTGGCACTTTATGGTAAAGTGCTCCTTTTATATGAAATGAAGGTCAATGTAAAGAGTAAATAAAACCACATGTTAAAAAATGAAACGCCAAAGGTTATTGTTAAGGTTAAATGCGGGTTCTTTATCATATTGTATGTCACGGTGAAAAGTTATGCTTTAAGAAAATAACTGATGAATTCAAATGGGTTGTGTTTAAACAAGGATCGTATTTAAAGAATTAAAACACTCATAAAAACACTTATTTACTGTTTATTAATAAGAATGGGTTTGTATATATGCGTATTTCTCAAAAACTGCCATGTTCTTTCTTTTATATAATATTTTTAGAAAACCTTTAGTAAGTAAATATTTTGAATTATTAACTTCTAATGATAATCTTCTATTATAAATAATGAAACTCATTAACGTTGCGTTCGATGAATACTTTTTAATGGAATGAAGTAAGTTGGTTAAAAATGATATGGCGAAACTGGCTCTTTAAAAATCATGCGGTTTCAATAAGGAGCTTTTGTAAAATTTCAAATGTAGTCCCTAATCAATAAATACACTCTTTCTTGAATTTTGGTAATCACCCTTCTAATTATTGTTTTTCAGTTATCGGAATCAGTTCTAGTGTTTCGAAAAGAAAAAGAAGATTTTTTTAGTTTGAACTAATATGGGTGAAGAATTTTCTAAGCATGTTTCTTTAACATAAATATAAACATGACGCATTTTGCATAGCAAAATAGATATTAGCATAATTATAATAAGATTTTATTATGTTTAAATGTTACCTTTCTGTATTTCCTTATAATCTTGTGTCCCAATTTATCGTGGAAAGACTTGGGCCATGCGTGTACAATTTTATCGTTGTATCCAGAAACTAATCTTTCTAAAGGATGCCGAACTATTATGAAGGTTATGGAATCAGCTTGTGCCTTTTTTATCATGGATACTGTAGGTCTTCCATACTTTCTTCTGGCTAATTCTAGATAGACCTCCTTCGTCTTATCTAGGAATGTAGCAGTGTAGTTTGCCATCAGATTAAAGTTGTACATCCAAGAAGACGATGCAGCTTTGAATACGTTGCACCTGCGAAAATATGATTACATATCAGACATCCTATATATCTCCTCAAGTTAAAAGTACTGTTACTGGAAATTGAAAACAACAAAGCTCCTACATATACCACGGGCCCGATTATCCAATTTTAAAATATCCCAATGCATTTCAGTGTGTGCTACAAGTATAAATACAGATTTCTCTTATATGTTTAAAAAATATGAACCATTTTGACTTATAAATATTTAACAAAATATTATGACACTAATTTGGAAAATATTAAGATTTGAAAACTTGAAAAAAGTAGGGATACTATACTACAAAATTTGCTAAAATATATATGACATTAAATTAGTGACATACGTTACAACTTTCATTATAGCCAGAACTTATAGAATTTAACCTTATGTAAAGCATAGAACGATATTCGTTCCAGAGTGCCGTGACGTCATAGCGACGCCATGACAGAAGTGGCGTTTTCGCGGGAAATTTTGAAAAATATAGTTATATTTAGAGTTTAACTTATTATATGAATGCTTTTTTTTATATTTCTTTTCAGATATATTTCAAGTATATGTAAAATAAAAATATAAAAGGTTGTCTACATCCATATTGTCTAAAGCAAGCGTTTGATGCCAAATATTACTTTAAGTTACCAAGTTAATATTATGTTTCTTGATCATTCAAATCAACAATCGTTCCGAAAGCGAATATCGGTCCTAAAGTTTCGGAGCTTATTCGATGCGAACAAACAAACAGTCAAAATTTCCTCTTTACACAGATTAATAAATAAGGACAAATTTCTACAGTCAATTTTTAAGTAATAACTCCTTAAAATTTATTGGGGATATTTGGACATTTGTAGCATCCGGTCATGCTTTTGACTATACCATGGGGAAATTAAATTACTAATAATTTATTATAACACAAGGATATGAGTATGACTATATAATTAATTGTGTTCAAATTCAAAATATGGTTCTGTTGTGTTGTAACTTTATTCAAAAAAAAGGTCACCACATTAAATAGGCAATCATCATTGACTCTACCCAGTAACACACCCATAATTGTGTTAGCGTTACGTGGCATTTGTGTCATGAATTCTATTTCAACACCCATAAGAGCGGTGTTTACATAACGCTTCAAGTAAATTTATTTTCTGTGTATCACTTTGCATGTCTTTTGTAATTTATCATAGAAAATTCTACGTACTGCATACAATTTTTATAGATTTTATCGAACTGTTACTGAACATGATAATAATCCTTACATGAAGTGTATTTGAACATATCGAACAACTGTAAGCCGATATTTTAATCAGCAATGCACATAAAATACCGTAAAGGTAATTAAAATTTGCGTTATCAATATGATATTTCATCATACTCAGATTAATTTTATAAAATATCACGTTGCTAGCTATTATTCCCACGACAACATTACAAGGATATTTTGTACCTACAGATGCAATCAGCACAGTTTAACTGTGCACTGTGCTATCAGATATGACGTAAAAGTGGATTAATAAGCTTTTAAAAGATTACAATGACTTTGTACTTGATTAGTTAGATAGAAATATAGGAACTTATTGTTAAGAGGATATTTACTCGAGCTTTCTCTACGTGTGCTTGGCGAGAAACGTCAATTGAGTTTCCTAATCTACTGAATGACAGAGTGATATCGTTCAAAACTGAAATAAGTAACTTGAGTCAAGTACTATTTTTGTAACTACACAACGTTAGATTTTCTTTGCCCTTCTATACCAAAATAATTTCATCGCATTCAGTCTTTAAGACATCCACCACTCTGGGTCGGTACAGATTGGTGGATACTGAACCACGGAGGTGTCCGGCCACTCTCGAAACATTATAAAAAAGTTTATTTTCTTCATTGCCACGACCAAGCATCCACTGCGGTCTTGAAGGTCGTCAAATTTAGATTTCGTCTCGTCTTTTCTTTGTCTTCAAAGCGATGCTGTAATATTTTTATATTGTACTTAATTGTTAATTGTTTACTTAATTGTTAATTAAAATTGCGTGGCGTGGTATGGGCATGTTATGAGAAGGGACGAAAGTCATGTTACGAAAAGAGTGATGGGTATGCATGTGGATGGATATGTGAGTAGAGGCAGACCGAAGAAAAGATGGATCGACTGTGTGAAAGAGGATATGAATAAGAAAGGTGTGGATGTGAGGCTGACGTCTGACAGAGAAGAATGGAAGAAGAAAACATGTTGTGCCGACCCCACGTAACGTGGGATAATGGGCAGGAGGATGATGACTTAATTGTTAATGACATTGGCATGTGACATTTGAATTCTGTTACTTTAATTTATTCAATGCTATAATATAATAATATAACTATATTTTGATTAATTTAATATATTATTAATTTAAATTTAATTATACGAAGTTAAGTGTGATTTTTTTTCTTTTGAACATTTTTTTTTCAGCTTCTTGTTATTTGTACTTTTCCCCTCTCTAAATTCTCTAGTTTTCTTTACTTATATTTGTTATTCCTTTTTAACATGTTTTGATTGAACATACAGTTGCACCCCAGGCTAGCACTATATTTCAAATTTCAATGTCTGTACGACTAGTGGTTTAGGGTGTGCGTTGTCTGTTAGTCAGTATGTCAGGACATCTCCTTTTATATATGGGTAGAAAATCATAATTATATAGTATATAATCAAAGGGTTCATCTATATAATGTAACCCGAAGCACAGATATATATAAAGAGATTCTATGGTCCCTAATATGTATAGATTCAACAAATATGCAAGAATATACATAGGTACTAACATAAAAGGTTGGCCTTTTATATCCTTTGTTATTTCCGGAAAAATAAAAAATATATTGGGAGAAAATACTTCACATATCAATATACCGATTATTGGCTTATGGTGTCCACTAAATTACTTACCATATAACGTGGTACTGTCTGTTCACTAAGTACTCCCAGGCATTTGCTTTGTTACTAGAGCTATCCAGGCCCAGTTTGCTACACTGGCTTCTCAGGTAATCATGGCGGCTCTCCATTCTTGCTCCGACCTCCAGAAATTTCTCCTTTGTTAGAAGTTTTTCGTCTTGGGTGCTATTATCGAAAATGAACTGAAACAATGGAAAATTAACCTTTTAAATATCAAGAAATATATTTCCAAGTCATGAATGTACCATTTGAAATAGAATAAGGCGGAATTTATTTTGGTGCTCATCCACTGCCTCAGCATGCACGCACCAGCTGCACGACTCGCAACACATTGCATGAATTTGTCGATTTTATACGGCCACTGCAGTCACAATTTTCATAAAAGCTTCTATGAAAAATGCAACTGCAGATTTGACGTCGGAATTATGCGGATGACGTCATAGGAATTTTTAATATATTCCGTTGCGTGTCGTGCGGCCGGTGCGTGCGTGCTGAAATATGGATTCACTTTTAGGGTGTAGAGGAAATAAAAAGTATATTTAGACTTGGGTCTGGAACGATGTTGCAATAAAAATAATAAATGCATAATTCCGACGTCAAAAATAACATTCGCATTATTCATAGAAGCGTCTAGGAAAATGCGACTGTCAGTTTTGAGCTCGGAATTATGTTGATGACGTCATAGGATTTTTTAATACAATCCGTTGCGTGTCGTGCGGCCGATCTTTGCGTGCTGAAAAATATGGATGTACATACCTTTAAGGGTGCAGAGAAAATAAAAAGTATATTTAAACTTGGGTCTGAAACGGTATTGCAATAAATTTTGGGATTAAAATTGAATATAAGAAGTTATTGGTGAAAATGGTTTTATATTCTAAACAAAAAATATATAATAGACAGAAATAAGACTTGATATCGTTCAAAATTCGTTTCAACGTTGATTTCAAAATGTTTGTAAATTATTTGTGTACAGTGCGAATAATGTTCTGGCCGTGGAAGTGTTTACTTTGTTTATTTACAACACCAATAGTTGGTTTTAGTATCTTTTGGCATATCATGAATATTGTTTTATATGGAACTAGCTTTCCGCCAGCGGCTTCGCCCGCTAGTCTTGTATTATATATAAAAACCTTCCTTTTGAATCACCCTATCTATGAAAAATAAACTGCATCAAAATCCGTTGCGTAGTTTTAAAGATTTAATATATATAAAAATATAAGCATACATTGGGATATAGGGACAGCAAAAGCGACTTTAATACTATGTAGTGATGATAGTGATGTTTTGTCGTCGTTGTGAAATATAAAAAATATAAACATTCAATCTACCTAATTCTAAAAAGTTATAGGCAATATTAGGTATTATACCTACCTACTATTTAAAAAATTACCCTGATAATTTCTAGACATACAGAAAGCTAGTTAGAATACAAATATATGAAATCGGAGTGTCTGTTTGTAATATTAAGATAACCGCTATTTACTAAATGCATATGCGGGTATACACAGTACTTATAACAAAATAATACTTTTAACATTTTTTGTATGTCTGCCTGTTTATTCCGGCTAAACTCAGAAACGGCTAGACCGATTTTAACGGAACTTTCACTGATGGATAGTGTATATAATAAGAAGTAACTAAGGCAACTTTCCACGCGGGTAAAGTCGCGGGCACAGCAAGTATTAGTAAAGCAAATTACTACTTATATATTTTTTGTTCATTTTAACGACTGGTAGGTTCACACGGTTAATTAATAAGCATTAGCACCGAAATAGTAACACCGTCACCATCTAATGTGCACCGAAACCAGGATGTTGATTTAATGTCGATAAATAAATTACATTTTAATTAGACAGGTTGCCATAATCTTCTTCTTCTTCTTTAATTAATGGCTTATCTGCGCGTTTCGCACAATTCTGCCAATTTCACGTGAAAAGCTATTACACGGTAGGGATATTTATGAGAAAAAAAGAATTTTGGAAAAGGCTTATTAAAAATTAATTCACTTCCTATGGCAGTTTAGCGAACCTGAAACAAAATACAACACATTTACGACATGCAGGACATAACACAACAAATACACCTATGAATACCGATTAAATAGGCAGGACTTTTACAATTTAATTTTGTTATTTAATATAAATTTAATTAGTATGCTTAGCAAAGGTGAATTAACTAGTTGAAGGATATTTTTGACATTTAGGGGCCGGGGTATATCATTTGGAAGGGAATCATATAAGGAATAACGAAGTTTGGGGCATTCAAATAACACATGTTCGACTGATCCTTCATCAAGTCCGCATTCACAAAGGGAGGTTGCCATAATATTATTTATACTAATATTATGGTGAGCAAAATTTTATTATTCTTTTTTCTTTTGTTTATAAGTTCTGTTTTGTTTCTTTGCATTGAATATTCTCCGAAATTACTGGTTGATTTCTAAATATTTTTCACCTACGTGAAACTATATGATAAGCGGGTAACATACTCTTTGATTTACGCGGCTGAAGTCACGGGAAAACAACTAGTAAGGTATATAGTAAAACTAACGGCAAATAATGAATTCGAGATATGACAATACTAAAATACGACAGATTTTGAATATTAAAACAGGAAAATCTGGACCGAAAGCTCGATATAAAAAGTTTTGCGCTAGATGGCGCAGTGAACATAATAGATTGGCCGTATTTTAAGTATTTAAAAAGTATTTTTTCAAGTTTCGAGTTGGAGATTGCAATAATCAGTGAATAACTGCGTGATTGTCAAGAACAATTGTTATCTCGGAGTTTTTCAGATGTTTGATTGGTATAAAGTGCTGATAAAAATTTTGAGAAATTAAATCATATTAACCGTGATTTCTATAGCGAATAACGCATACATCTATGCGTAATGTTGATGTGAAAACAATATTTTATTCAAAACAAATATTTGTACTGTGTTTATGTGATGATTTTTTGAAAAAAACTTTCATAAAAGCCGTTGTTCATCGACGACACATTTGGACTTTGTACCTGCCAGCAAACAATGCAGTTGTTATCGGAATGAATCGACTGTCTTAGCCATTAGTTAAATGCAGAAAATAGTTGAATATTTTGACGCTTTGCTTGTAAGCGCCGTGGTGTAACGGATAGAGTTACGTCCAACCGACAGCGAAGCCCGAAGATCGGAACCACGCAGAGGAGGCAATTTTTTTTTTTTTTTTTTTTTTTTTTTTCTCTTTTTATTTCCATTTTTCCTTTTGTAATTAATTTTTTTTTGTTTTTTTTTATCTTACTTCTTTTTTTGTAAACGAGAAATAAAAGTAAATAAGTAAATATTAAAAATGCAACGTTCACCGCCAAATCAATTTCCAACTACATTGAAAGAAATATTACGCCCAAAACAAACGACAGCAACACTAAAGAAGGTGATATTGGTTTCACGCAACGAGCGAAGAGACAGGCTACTTCTCCATTGTCGCAGGCGAAAACGCAAAATATGGTAACAAAAGATGACATTAGAGAAATCGTAGTGGATGTAATCCAAAATGAGCTGGCGTCCATGGTGTCACAAATTGGTAGATCAGTGGTCGATTCTATAAAGACAGAACTCATCTGTATCAGGAAAGAGATTGAAGAAGTAAAGGAATCAATGTCTTTTATGAATGAAAAATATGAGTCAGCTATTAAAGAGTGTCAAGAAATGACCGGGGAAGTTAAAACATTGAAGGAAGAAAACAAGGACATGCAAGGGACAATACAACTTTTAAAAGTCAAAGTTAATCTGCTGGAACAAAATGCGCGCGCTAATAATCTGGAGGTACAATGTGTCCCTGAAACAAAAAACGAAAATCTATCAGGTATAGCTATGTGCATCGCAAAAACGGTTGGTTACAATATGACAGAAGGGACAATACAGCATATTACTCGTGTGTCAAAACAAGACAAGGCCAGCTACCGACCTAGATCAATTATTATTCAGATGTCGTCACTGCAACAACGAGATCTCTTTCTAGCTGCCGTTATAAAATATAATAAAGCAAATCCGAATAATAAGTTAAACACCTCTCACATAGGCATTACCAATGATAAAAAACCAATTTATGTTATGGAACACCTCTCAGTACCAAATAAAGTTTTACACGCTGCAGCTAGACAAAACGCCAAAGACAAAGGTTATAAACATGTGTGGGTCAAAAATGGGAAAGTGTTCATGCGAAAAACTGATGATTCAGCATTTATCTTAGTCAAGGATATGGACTCATTGAAGAAACTGAAATAATTTTGACTTCATATTTTTATTTGTTTTGCATGATTTTGATATAAATATAAGTATTAAAATTCTCAAGTCTGAATGTATACTACCAAAATGTACGTGGCCTAAGAACCAAAACTGTTGATTTTTATAATAGCGTAAGTCTCAGTAAATATGATATAATAATACTCACAGAAACATGGCTGAATAATAATGTCTTTGATAGTGAATTGTTCGATGATAGGTACGTGGTATATCGTAGGGATAGAAATAAAACAAATAGTAATAAAGGGGAAGGAGGGGGCGTCTTATTGGCAGTCTCAAAAAAAATTAACTCTAATAGACATGTTCAATGGGAGAGTAGTTGTGAAGATTTATGGGTTACAATAGATTTTCCTGTTAATGTGTCAGTTAATACAGTAACTTTTTGCATTGTATATCTTCCTCCTCCAGTAACACCAACATTACTAAAGGCCTTTTTAAGTAATTGTAACCTGACGCTGGAAAGCATTCAAGGTGATGTGTATATAATAGGAGATTTCAATCTAGGACAAATAAAGTGGACTCAATTTGAAAATTATAACAGAAATGTACCATCTTTAGAAAGTTCAATAATAGATTTTATAGCATTGAACGATTTGTGTCAAATTAATCATATTTCTAATATTAGTGGTAATATACTAGACCTTTTTCTTACCAATAACCAAAACTGTCAATTGCTGTGTGCTTCTGATGTCCTTTCCAAAATTGATATCGTGCACCCTCCCTTCGAAGTACAAATAAGTTTATCATCGCCGAAATATTTGCCAGTTAACAATGAAATCCCGAGGTACAATTTCTATAAAGCAGATTATATAAGTTTAAATCGATTTCTTAAGAGTACACCATGGTCAGAGCTATTTAGTAAAGTAACAGATGTGAATGAAATGGTAAAACATCTTTACGATGT